TTTTCCCCAAAAGTAAGTTTTCCACATTCAAAGTAGAAAAAGAATAAACAGCCAGTTCCCAAAAATCCAAACTACTGACTAGAAACAGTGACACACACATCACAACACGACTGTCTCCCGTGAATTTAAATTCAAATTGCTGTAATCTAACAGCAAAGTTTGAAAATCTTGAATATCCACTTCACAATATCCACTTGTAGATATGTAATATGAATTCATTCAGAACACAGAACTTTGTAAGCACATTAAAATGTCACACAATGCAACACATGGAAAGGGCTTACGCTAACCAGTTTTCAAGGGATTCCATCCAAAAAGTCACATGATTTAGTTAGATGGCGTAATCTAGAGAAGGCGGTGAAATCACCACAGCTAGAAAGAGATTAAAATCACAAATCCAGTAATACCTCAGTGAACCATGTAAGTCAATTCTAAGCCGAAATATTATCACTAAAGTGGGGGGGTGTCTAATATAATACCACTTTAGACTTTAGACAAATTATTTAAATATAAATGCTATAATTTGTAGTGTAAGCTGACTAAAGATAGATGCTGAGTTGCGTCCAAGTAAAGTGAAAGGTAAATATGACTAAAGTTTTGCATTTTATAGCAATAGCTATTTTATTGATTATTGTTTTAAGAAACCCTTATAAACTATATCATTGCATCGGGACGGAAATGGATGATCCTCTGGGAAACTCTAGGTGGTAATTGTTGTTTGTTATTTCCCACTGATCCTCTTACGATGACAATTTCATGTGACTCTTTCATGAAATCTACTTAGTTTGAATATTGTATTTCAAAAGAGAGTAGATGATGGGTTTTAACTTTAGTTTTAAATAAACGTTTCTATGGTTGATTTACATTCATAGTTAAAGTTTCATTTTATTTTTTATTTCTAGATGTGTGTATAGTGTCAGGTTAGTGCTGTCTACCAATATACCTATTCTAGATTGGGGCTTAATTTAATTACCAGAAAAGGAAATTGTCGGGAGGGTTAATCTGCTCTGTCTAAGTGTTCTACGACAAAGTGGCGGGTCCAATACCACTTTAGACAAATTATTTAAATATAAATACTATAATTTGTAGTGTAAGCTGACAAAAGATAGATGCTGAGTTGCGTTCAAGTAAGGTGAAAGATGAATATGACTACATTTTTGCATTTATAGCAATAACTATTTTATTGGTTATTGTTTTAAGAAACCCTTATAAACTATATCATTGCATCGGGACAGCAAGACATAACTTTATATGCGTTTCTAAAATACATATGATGCAATATGGCCTAATTAAATATAAAAATGGCCGCCAGCTCACTGTTTTTAGGTAAACACCATACAAATTTATGGTTATCTGCCAAGCCAGGCAAGATGTATATTATACAGTATTGTGTGGACTTATGGATAACACAAAAAATGTCTATCTCAGCTGGTGTTTCAAGGCATTGTCATTTCTCTTTTTATCTGTCCAGAGTATTCTCATCATTCGTCTATAAAACCACATCTCCGCAGCTTCCACATTATTTTTTTATGAAAACTGATTAAAATCCTGGAACTTTACCCACCAGCTTCATTTGGCATAGCAAGGTCAGATGGTACCCGGTGCAGTACTGACCCCCCCCCCCCCCTTCCCCCACTTTCCACATTCAGACACAGAAATGTGTAAAATTTTAAAATAAATTGCCACCCCCCCCCCCCCCCCCCCCCCCACACACACAAAACACACAGTGATGACACCATGTGTAACCGCAGCCCCACTACAGCGATATCCCTCCCATTCTCTTGCTCTGCTTTTTTTTTTCTCTTTGGTTCTTTTCCTCTCTGTGTTTGCCTCTATATATTGTCTCTCTCTCCTTTCTGTCTACATCTCTCTCTGCTTGAATCTCTCTCTCCTTCCCTGTCTATTCTCTCTCCCTCTGTCTCCATCCCTCCAACTCTCTTTGTCTGTCATATTTTTTCCTTCTCCCAAATCTCTGCTTCTGTCCCTTCTTTCTCCTCACTTCGTCTGCCCATCTCTCTATCTGCGTGTCGCTCTTTCTGTATTTTTCTCCCTCTGTCTTTCGCTCTCCCTCCCTCACTCTCCCTCATCATGTCTGCATTCCTCCTCCTCTTTGTCATCTTTTTTCCCTTCTTTCCCCTCTCTTCATTCATGTATCCATCTCTACCTGCCTCTCCCTCTTTCCCTACTGAATGACTCCCCCTGTCCTTTCAGGCAACAGGTCTAGAATAGACAGGACATCAGTTTGCTCCCCTCTGCCACCAAGTCTAGAACAATTTTAAAAACACTATATCTGTGCTGGTATACCCACATGTGTGCGCACAAATAAAGTACTGTGTTTTCTGGGTACACCCTTGAATAATGCAAAAATACCTTTTCTGAGTATTACCCTGATACAACCTTGAAAAATTAAGAATACCTTAAAATACCTTGAAATTAATTGTTAAATTTGGCTACGAACCTTGAAACTTACTTATCTTGAAATACCCTCTGTGCTGCCCCCCAAATGATTAATTCTTAGCGCACTCAAACCATGTTATGTCACAGTCTATCTCTGCAATAACTATTTCACGTAAAGAGTATGCCGCCAAGCTATAGAGATCCACACAGCTACTAGAGGACACTAATGAACTTTTACATGTTGGGGTGTAACTTATAAAACTATTACATCTGGACTGAGATTAAAGTAGCCAATCCGATATCTCATTAAAGCATTTGCTGACTTGTTGACTAACTTGCTGACTAGTTAGGTCTAGTATTTCATTTTATTTGTAAGGGCAGAATAGAGGATCAACCCCCTAATCTCATCACATTATTTCCAGTAAACCTGTCTTAGCATGTAACATGTTAATTGACAGCTTCTTTTACAGGAATATACAGTGTCTTACAGAGTCAAGAGAAATGACACATTTTATGAACTGATATATATCTAGAAGACTTTTCACTATCCGGCCGTGACTATTAACTCTCTGTAAAGTCTGGACCAGTAAAAAAAAAATCAAATAATTATGTGGATAATTTACTCTGTGCCAATTTGTATAACATTTTGCCGAGGGAATCATGCACAATACTTTAAACATTGTTGCACACTTAATTTCTTCCATGGTATGCTTATACAAAGCTAGGTTGATTTCTGTGTTGGCCAGAAATCATAACCTGTTGCAGTTTTGTTGAACCCTAGATTTGCTGATGATACCACGAACCACGAACGTGAAGGTCAGTGGGCGTTTTCCCCCAACACTGAGATTTGTCACCACCCAGAACACTGGCTAACATAGAGACGTCCTACATGTTACACTAAAACAAACGGAACATGTGGGACAACGATAGGACCGAACGTCTTTAAAAGATAGTAATGCTAGGGAAAAGAAGAGAAAGAAAAATGCTAGCAGCTGGACTCACACACTGAACTATAGGCATCCAGGCCATCCTATTCTCTGGGGATACTACATAAAACATTAAATGTGTGGTATTTTCAGGGTCTCTAAAGGCTGCTTTCCCACTACTCTCTGTGTGAGAGAGAGAGAGAACAATAAATCTTACACCGGTGTAATGTGGAGCATAAAACTGATTGAAAGACGCTACACTAGGCCATCAACCAGTATACGTCCCATTCCCTTGGACACCTAGACGCCATTTAATGGAGCAACATTTGTTCCTACACTGGCGGGCTCACGAATGAAGGAAGAAATAATTACAGACACTCGATCTCTTTTTATAAATATTTCACCTTCACGATGACATCTCATTAGGCTACACAATATACACCTGAGAACATGATATTCTCTAGGCACCCAATTCACCTGCAGGATTCAAGTTTACACGGCCCTACCCTGCTACAACAGTTAAGGACAATCAATATTAGTAACATGGAGCAGGTAGAAGGCCGCACGACGTTACAGTAAGCCAGTTAACATTAACGAAGGCAGTCAGGTCGTTGTAGTGGTGACGCTTGATGGTGGATGTAATGTCCTAAGTCCCTTCCCCAGCTAATAGTGAGGGTACTGCTGGGGTGACCATTTATTAATCCTCACATAATGCTTCAGGTCAAAATGGAAGCATGGCACGGCCACTGTTTTGAGCCGTGGCAAATTTTTTTGCTTCTGCCAGACGGTGGCTGTTGCATTTTTGTCGACTGTATTTGTAGATTGTAGACTGGAAGGATATAGTTTGGTTGCCCAGCTTCTGAGTTGAGTGCATGGCGTGACACTGTGAGCTGCAGATTTTATTTGGAATGTTTTTCGACTGTGACCAACGTGGTAGTGTGCATTGTAGATTCAGAAACTGGTGCGATGCCGGTTGTCGCTATATTGATGGTGCCATTATGTGATTAAAATTGATCCTGCATGCAACTGCTGATCGGTTGGTGACTTCTGCTAGTCACTAGTGCTACCATCCATGATGAACTGCATTTCTAATGTCAGACTGTTTGTGTTAGCACTTTGGATGGCTGCCAAATGCTTTTGATGCGTGTGTATGCTAGTGCATATGCTTATACAGCAGTCTGTCAATCTTTCCACAAGGCACTGTGACAGACATTCTGTGTGTTTTTTGTTGGCACAGGAGCGGAGCAACTGTGGGGTGACCCGTTTGCTATGAAGCTGAAACTAAGATTACCAGTGAGTGCTGTGTCATGCCCCATACATCAGCGGTAGACATTCAAAGTGGGGGTGGGATATGTCACGTTTTTTATCGTGGAGTTAAATCTCAAACTAGATATTTGAATTGATTGTTAAAATATACATTTTGAATAATTACTTTCTTTAGAAAAATGAAGATGCTGACTAAAATGCTGGAATTCCACACTTATACTAATCCTGTTTCCTGGAACATTGTAGTATATATTGTGTGTTTGTATCTGTATTGAAGATAGTGTAGTTCAAATCCCTGCCTGTCTCAGAAAAAATGTTTTCAAATATGAAAGTGATTTTAAAATTGACTTAGTAATTGAGATCAAATTAGAAAAATAAGAGAAACTATTGTAATTACTGCTTAATTTTACAATGGCTGTGGAAGTTGGGGCAGAGTTCAAAACATATGATGATCTGACAAATGCTGTACGGGCATACGAGGTTGAAAACTATGTGAATTTGACCACACGTGATACTCGGACTGTGGAAGCTGCAGCAAAGAGAAACTTAAGAAAGAATTACAACCCAGCTATCAAGTACAGTGATATCTCATATTGTTGCACCTATGGTGGCAAAAAATATGTCTGTCACTCCACTGGCAAAAGAAGTCACAAGTAAGTAATTTTTACTATTATTAAAGTTGTAATATTTGTTAACACTGTTCTTTCTTGTTCTGTTTGAACTTTCTAGTGCATCCCTTATACATTGCTTTTGATTAGTTCCATATGAGACAGGAATAACATCTCTAGAAGAGCAGTGGTGCACTAAAACTGTTCATGAGAACAGAACTTCAGTATATTATATTTTTCACCACCACCAAATGGAAGAGGACTGACAGGAAATCCCTCCACTAAATGTATGACATTTACCTAATCCCACTTCCAAAACCAGGCAAAGATCATTCCAGACTCAGCTGTTTCAGGATTATTACCCTGCAAAATACTTTTGGCAAGGTGCTAGAGAAGATTATTGCTGTGAAACTACAAATGTTTTTGGAAAGGAAGAGCTCCTGCCAGAAGGTTTGGGTAGTTACTGGCCACAAAACGATACCTGGTCAAATGCAGCTACTTTTGCTTCTGATGTTTATGAAAGGCTTCCAGAACAGACAGACAGTTGTGGCAGCACTTGATCTTGAGACTGCCTTCAACAAAGTCAGATAAGATATTTTGCTGTCTGCACTCATAGAGAAGGGGGTTTTCCCTCGCTTGTGAACTGAATAGCATCTGTCCTGCATTCACTTATGGTTGCCCTTCACCTGGGTACATGGACCTCAGAACCATGTAATATCGCCCCGGGACTACCCCAGGGTTCTGCAATTTCTGTGGTGCTCTTTAATGGATATACAAGCAAGATTGCAGAACTTGAAGCACTAGATGTTGGAAGGATAATGACATTTGCTGATGATGTTCTTGCATATAGGCAGGGGAGTAATAGGCAACGGATAGCCCAAGAGCTACAGGCAACTGTAGACAAAGTGACTGACTGGTGTGCAGAAACGGGTGCTGTCATTAACTCAGAAAAGGCGGCTATTTTGTGGTGCTCTCTGGACAATAGAATAGTAAGAGCTAATGTTGCAAGCCTCACAGTTAATAACAGTAACATCAAAGGAGAAAGCAAACTGAGGTACCTGGGTATCATTTTCGATAGAAGCCTGTCCTTCAGGCAGTTTTAGGTGAAATCTTAAAAAGAACTCAGTGCTCTCAAGATTACGGCAGCAATGAACATTGAACAAAGAATACTGTTCGCAGTGTTCAAGCATATGATCCTGTCAGTGATAGATTATGGACTTGGAAAGCTTACCATGTCAAAGAGTCAGCTGATGAACGCATACAGAATGAAGCCATGCAAGTAGTTCTGGGATGTACAAGAGATACCCCAGTAGTATGTATGCGATGTATGCTTGCACTGCCTACTATTGTAGACAGGCTCAGTGTTCTGCAAGCAAAGTCATATCTCAGAGTAGCTGCAGACAAGAAGCTTCTCCTGCATGAAGTCCTGGGTAGAGCTAAGGGTCACAGACTAAACAGAGGAAGGTCTTGGATGGCGCAAACTGAAGACACATACAGACTTCGGCAGGCTTGATAAATTTGTTAAGTGAGGAGTGGGTCAAAGTGTCAGAGCAAGTTTCAAACTTGTATAGGGTTCTTATCACTTTGGGTCGTGAGTGCAGGGACTTGCCAGCTAGCACTGCAGAATCAGAAGTTCACCAAATGATTCATGACAATTCCCACCCAATTGATGTGATTATCTATACAGATGGTAACATCTAGTTTGAGAGTGGAGGTGGAGGCAGTCACTGCTGCATTCCACTGGCTTGAGAATCAGCTGTACACACATGCCGTGATTGTAACCGACTCACAGAGCATGTTGAGAAAGGTACCTTCACTTTAAATATTATAATCATAGGAATGCTTTGTGACATGTCTTTCCATTCCAGAGTATGTCTTTCAGTTGAGCGTATTTACTTGATTTTGTCATAATAATGTAAATAAAATAGTAATCTTCTTTTCTTGCTATTTCTTAACATTCTGTCATTTTCCCACGATTTACCAACATAGCAGCCCTGGGTTCAGTTCTAGTGTAGACTAGTGTGGTACTAGAGTGACCCAGCCTCATTATCACAGGCTTCTATGGAAAAAAAAGACAGCCAGAACAGCACAAATAATGCTATTAATTTGATCACAGAAAATGTGAACTTGATACCAGATCCTAGCCTTAATATTATGTAGATGTGCTTACACTTTTGTACTCTACATTTACACACAACCATTTATGTTTCCACACAGATCTATAAAGTTGGCTTGCCCATTCTCTCTTAAAATTCGAGCTACAATTGATGGACAGCGACTGTTTGTTAGGGAAATGTGTTCAGTTCACAACCATCTGCTGACAGAGGTAATTTGTCTTTGTTCTTGATGAAGAACTTTGGGGAGAGTAGGTTTAGTTTCAAGTCCCCTTAAGGCTGGATATCATGACACTGGTCACCTTCTGTTTGTGATATTGTTAACATTTCACAGTTGTGATATGAGGCTTCTTTTTCGTTCTCTAGTATAATACATTTTAAATTGTCACTGCACTTCTCAAGCATTTGGAGACATTTTTGTATGTGTACTAACATAGAATTAGAAACCGTTGAGTTGAGTTAAGAATTTACATCACAGCACTCTGGGCATTCCCATATGCGCTCCATCCTCAGCAGCCAGCACAGAGTTCCAATAATAATGGTGCCAGTCCTAGTCTGGTTGTATGTCCATTTTGCCTTTCTTTCCTCTGAGCATAGTGTGCCGGCCGAACTCTCTGGTCACACCCATAGAAACCGCTGATCAACACTTAACACAAAATGCATATATTTGTGCTTTCAAACATAAAAATCTGGCATCACAGGGACCCATCTTCAGCAGCCAGTGAAGAATTTCAGTGCTGGTATACAACACTCAGTTTAAGTATTTGTCCATCTTACCTTTCCTCTGAGTTTGAAGTATTGGTGGGATTCCCTGGTCCATCCCTGCCGCATCAGTCTCTCCAAATCATAATGATCTATTCATGCATCTGCATTGTTCACTTGCTCTCAAGGGGCCCTGACTTCATTCAGCTTGTCATGCTTCAGTTCACAACCCATTGATGCAGCACCAGCCAGTCTTTCTACCTGTTCATTTCCCAACACCAGACTGATTCGGGAGAGAAGATCCAAAGGACATTAACTGCCAGGGACTGCTGAAGTGATGTTTGCCACTCTGTATGCCTTTCTCTACCTTTGTTAGCATTATTTTGTGAGTCTGTTACAATCACAAGGTGTGTGTGCAGCTGGTTCCTAGGTCAGTGGAAAGCTGCTGTGACTACGTTCACCTACATTCGCTAGGCTATATAGCACTTAGTGGTGTCAGTCTGCTTTTGCAGTGAACCCCTGTGCAACTTTTCTGCCTCTGGCTCTGACAGCTGGATCCATACCTCTCCTCTGCCTATTATTTTTTCAGGCCTACATACTTCTTTTATTTCAGTTTGCTCCTTCTCTGGATTTCCTTATATATGCATGTGGGCGTTTTTTTTATGCAGGACTTTGTTAAGAATGTACATTCTATATGCAGGCTACTTTGAGGCATGACCTTGTTTTCATCATATATACTACTTGGTTCTCTCTGGTACATCCTAGATTCCCCATCATGGCTTTATTCAGTATGCGTTGAAGTTTTACTAACTGAATGTTAAAGGAGGTCATGCCAGGCATTTGGTCTAGTTCATGACCTTCCCTGCCGCATCCCTAGAACTCCTAGGGTTAACAAATACTCCTGCACTGAAAGACGGCTTTTTTTTGATTTTGTTCCTAATAAGAATTATTGTGCTCTGCTCTTGATACTCTCTTCAGCCACTAATGAAGAGAGGGTGGAGAGGGAAAGAGGAAGAGCAGGAGCAAGGAAAATCAAATGAAAATTGGAGTCCCTGGGATTTAAGCGTGTTAGAGTGTCTTAATGGAATATCCATAGTGGACAAAGAGTGTTTACTACTGGAGAGGCTTTTATTTCAGCTGCATAAATCCTACTGGAAAAAGGGAGATATGAACAAGGTCTACTGGTAAAGAAGGGTGTTAAGCATGTGCTTGACCATGGTCAGTGGAATCACAGTGCAAGAGATGGAATGGAGGGGTAGACTGTGAGCCCTGTGTGATGTATAAACCTGTCACAGTAGGATGATAATGATGATAGAAAGTCATACTAAATATAAATAGTTGATTAAAAAAATGAACATTTTATGCCACTCTGTGGGGGGGGGGGGCCTTGGTGACTAGATTAGTTAAAAACTGATCCGGTGTAGACCTGAAAAGAACTCACCAGGGACCAAAGAAATAGTTCTTCTTATCAGACATTCATCTTGTCCAGTTAAGACTATGGTAATGCATTTACAGCGTGCAATATAATAATGAATTAGCTTTGAATACGACAGGTATGTGACACAGAAAATGTGTAAATCAGCAAAAGTGTGAATGTACAGAGTTGACACAAATATCTAAAGATTAATAGCATTTGTTACACTCTGTATCTGAATTAATAACAATGTCTTTCCATAATACTTACTTACTTAGTCGCTCCTCTTCTACCTTGGGGTGTAGAGGTTTGCCAGAGAGATCGCCAGACGTCTCTATCAGCAGTTTTCTTTCTGGCTTTGTTCCATTCCAGTCCTCTGTCAGTCAGGGACTGTCGGATGTTGTCTTCCCAGCGCACCCTGGGTCGTCCCGGAGGTCTGGTTCCCTGGTTCTTAGCCTCCAATGCTTGCCATGGTGGCCGATTTTCTCCCATTCTGCACACATGTCCAAACCATCGTAACTGTGACTGATCCACTCGGGTTAGTAAGGGCTGGGTATCAAGATCTTGACGTATTGTCTGATTGCGGACTTTGTCCCTTCTTGTCACTTGGACCAACCTTTCTCAGGTATCTCATTTCCGAGGCCTGCAGCTGGCTTCTGTGAGCTGTTGTCATTGCCCATGACTCACACCCATAGGTCAGGACTGGTACATAGGTAGAGCGGTAAAACAGCCATTTTCGCGTCCTCTTGCCCAATTTCTCTTTTGCTAAGAAACCCTCGGTTTATGGCCTGGAAGAGTCTCCCCAGCAGCTGCTTTTCGTGTAGCCAGCTCAGTCTTAATGCCTCCATTTTGGTCTAATACAACTCCAAGGTATTTGAACTGGTTAACCTGCTCCAACGCATACTGACCCATCATGATCTGGTGTTTCTTCTCCTCTCTTGAGATCACCATGGTTTTAGTTTTGGAGACACTGATGGTCATCCCTTTCTTTTCAAGCTCTTCCTTCCAGACAAGTAAGTTGGACTGAAGGTGTTGCCTCTGATTTAGCTATCAGGGCCACATCGTCTGCAAAAAAAAAGCCAGCTCAGCTCTGATATACAGATTGGTCTCATCTTCCAGTACCCTACAGAGTACTTCTTTGTCTTCTCCTTACAGGTCTTGATGACATCATCCATCATAAGAATGAAGAGGTAAGGTGAGAGAATATCACCTTGTCTAACACCGCTGGTGGTCTTAAATTCTTCTGACTTTTGGTATAAATATCCCGAAAAACTTGAAGAAAAACTGTGTCTGGAGCAGGTAGATTATAAAGCTTTAATCATTCAGCATATTTCCACAATTTTTTATACATGGATTAGGCATAACCGGACATGTTTTATAAAGACAAAGAAGACGAATTGGCTAGGTTAATCAAATTGTTCTTCACAACTGAAATTCACCATATCCGAAATTGTCTTGAGTGGTCTGCACTGTCAAAGTATTTCACTGTTAGAATTATTTTATACTAGCTGTACCCGGCCATGCGTTGCTGTAACCCAGAATGGGGAAATGGAGAGAAAATAAAATGCGTCTCAGTGTCTGTCATACAGTGTCCCCCCCCCCCCCCCCCCTTTTCAGTTATATCCCCCTTTCCGGAGGATTGAAAAATCATCCATGGCGAAATTATTAAAATAGACATAGTTAAGAAATGAGAACTTAAAAATAATATTTGTAGCTCTGTCAGCTAACTGTTTTTGGCATCCCCCCCCCCCCCCCCCCCCCCCCCCCCCCCCCCCACCCCCCCCCCCCCCCCCCCCCCCCCCCAATCATATCTCCCTCTCCGAAAGATTGAAAAATCATCACCTGGCGATATTATTAAAATAGAAATAGTTAAGAAAAGAGAACATTAAAATAATATTTTAAGCTCTTTCAGCTAATTGTTTCTGGCATAACCACCCCACCCCCCCCCCCCCTCATCATATCTCTCTCTCCAAAAGATTGAAAAATCATCACCTTGCGAAGTCATATCTCACTCTCCGAATGACTGAAAAATCATCCATGGCGAAATTACTAAAATAGAAATAGTTGAGAAATGAGACATTTAAAATAATATATTAAGCTCTCTCAGCTAAATGGTCACCCGCATGATAAGCAGAATAGTTACCAACTACGCTACCAAACACTCGAACAGATAGTGGAAATGAGATTATATAATAATGCAAAGTTCAATAAGAGCTCGGCAGCCAAAAATAGCCAGTCAACTAAAAAGAAATCCGGGCCGGCAACGAAACAAATAATGATTTGACTGTTGCTGAAGCTACGTCGTTCGTGGTTTGTGCGATTTTCTGACAAAAAATCACACTTGGAGTCAAAGGCAATGTTGTGTGCAAATTTGAAAGCAATCGGTTCAGTAGTTTCCGAGTTTAGGAAAAACAACATAGGAAAATTAACATTTTTATTACTATAGATAAATTTTGACAGGATCCTCAGTGAACATACCCAGATTTTAAACACTGCTTATTTTATTGTAATGCCCTGATGTTTGTCTACTTAATTTTGATTCTTTTTTGTGTGTGTCAAATTCACCTACAGTCATCGCAACATAAATTTGTAGCCTGTTAAAATGGACATTAATTTTCTCATGTTTAAAATGGACATTAATTTTTTCATGTGAGGTGTAATACTTTAGGGACCCTAATTGTTGCTGTTAATTTTTTTTTTTTACTGGGTAGTATTGAGATATTAACTGTTTCATTTATTTTGTTTAATAATTTCTGAAGTAACTGTTCTGTTTCTCATATTATACCCAAGTCATATATATGTTTTATTCAGTTGCTTTGGTCATTATCATTTTTAAATGAACAGTTTACAGCTCCTAAAACATTTCTCTTCTAATTGGTCTTGGTTCTGTTTCCTCTTTGTAATGGATTTAATTGCTTAATATTTAATAATCAAATTGAAATATTAAATAATTAAGGCTTAAGTGATGTCTCAGTTACTGCTATAAAATCTTGCTCCGGTGATCAAGCTAGCCGTCACTGCTTAGAAGATCATTTTATTCAGTTTTGTCATTCTCAGTCATGGAGTGATTCATTTTCAGCACAGCTATATTGGACTTTATTTGATGTTTTATTTATTTATTTAACTTTTTTGCACCTTCTTTTTTTTTCAAACACCTTCTTAATTATTTTGTTTTGTAATATAGCCTCTCATGACCATAATTTTCCACCCATTATGTATTTCTTTGTTTCATGTTCACTTGGATGTTTAGAAGTTCAGTTTTCTTGTCCATTAAGTTTTCCTGTCACACTTTGTATTGGTGTTAGTACTCCTTGGTCAAAATGGTTTGTTGTAATTGTACGCTTCTTTTCCATTCCCTCTGTTGAGCTTTCTAGTCACATTGTTTCTTAGCACATTTTTCTTTCCTACGGCTTGGTAAAGATGTTACTTGATGTTTGCTTTTCTGACTGCTTTAACACTAGATCTTACTAGACTGCAGGATGAGTGTTCTCTGTGAATATATTGAATAAGAAATGAACTTACAGCCATTGACTAGACCATATAAAACAATTAAATGACTTGGTGACTACACAAGGATTTAAACTTGCCCTCTGCAAATTACAAATATGAAATAGTTAAAAGACATGGTGACTACACAAGAATTTAAACCTGCCCTCCGCAAATTACAAATATGAAACAGTTAAAAGAGATGATGACTACACAAGAATTCAAACCTGTCATCCGCAAATTACAAAAGCAGCTTTTTCAGTGCATGATCAACTAGGCAGTCCTAAAAATTATATTTTTTGACATCCGCCTGAACCCACAGCTTTGGAATTTTAAGAGAATTCACATCTAGCTATTGAATGATCACCAGAGGGTTCAGATATTAATATTAACCAAACATAAGTTAAATAACAAACACACAAGTACAAGGGACCATAATGTTATAACTAGTATGTTTTGTCCTAGACAGGGAAATCGGTCAGATGTGATACAAAATACGTCCTTAAAGCAGTCATGCAAATCTCCTTCTGCTTTTCCTCTACAAATGGAGTAGAAGTCATCAGCCAAATTAGGTCACACTGACTTGTTTATGATTGATTGGGTGTTGTAGGTCAAGTGTTCTGTGGCATGAATATAAGCCAGAGCTTTTCACCTGGCGGCCAGTGTTCTAGATCTAACCCGCGGAGGGCTAGAAAGTGGCCTGCGGATTATTGTCAGTTGTATCGTATTAATGACCTTTCTATACTGGGGCTTGGGCCTCTGGCCTGTGATGATTCCCAATTTCAGAATTTAGCCCCTGGGTAAACTTGGTTACATAGCCTGATGTAGGCAGTCATACAGCAACCTTCCTTAATTACATTGTATAATATAGATCATATAATTTGTGCTTCCAGTATGGGTGGTCCTGGCAATGCACAGACACAGTATATGTCCTTGCCTCCACCAGTTGCTCACCTTGATGTCCTTTATTCTAGTTCTATATGTATTACTTCCTGTCAAAATGGTCATGTGATCAGACAATATGGTATGGCTTTTATTGTATACTTGTATACCTTTGTTTTGGCCACTGTTGGTTTCATCACTCAATCAAGTGTCATTTCCACCAGCAGTAAATCTGTTTCACTTATGTTTCTGATTGCGGGGGGGGGGGGGGGGGGGGGGGGGGGACATACTCTGCTGTACCTCCATCTGTGGCCTGCTTTTCTGTATATTCAGATTTTCAGAGTGCATTTTATTTTCTGATCACTTGCCATATTCCATGCTTCTGTTTAGAATAGTTATAGCACTTTACTGTTCTCGTTGAAGTTATTATTTATCACTTCAGATGTTGATATCTATATTGTGTTTGTATTATTTTCATTGTGGACTTTGATTCCTCTGCATAATTAATATATTTCAGCATTGTGAGCCATAATAGTGGCATGACTATTGTACACTGTTTTGACCAGCACAGGGTTATGCATTTCATGTTTCTTCCCTAATAAGTAAGGCTCATGAGGTTAATCAAACGTCATCAATTATAAAGCAAAGATGTTTCTGTTAACGACACATTCGAGGTCACACTAGATGTGAACCTGCCACTATTATCCCAATATGCCTTATCGATGTATAAACTTTTACTTTATAATCCTTCATTTTTTTTTTTTTGGTTATAGTTAATAGACCTAATAGATGTCACTGTTTTTTTTATTAGGTCTTTATTACTAATTTATTCTTTTTCATTTACAGGCCGAGTTTCGTCTGCATCCAAAACAGAGGAAATTAGATATTGGCTCTCAGGAGGAAATAGCTCACCTGCTTAGCATGGAGCCAGACAAAAAGCTGCTACGAGACAAACTTATGCAGATTACTGGAAAAGTTATTCTCATGAAAGACATTCATAATATTAAAACCAGACTTCTTAATCCCAGAGATAGACAAACAAATATAAAGAAAGAGCTTATTGAAAGAGATGAGGGAGAAGGTGCTTCAGATATGAAGAAGGTGCATGATAAAGACACTGCAGAAATGGAAACACAGACAGACGATGAAAACCTTGAGGATATTCATATACCAATACCACTTATGACTTCCTCACAGATTGGCACTTCTAATCAGTCTGTCTTGTTTCATCAAACAGATCATTTAGTTGATCACAGCTTTTATACAGACAGTCAGACATTCCAGCAGCAGACAGCTAATGTTTTTACTGTTAGTGTGCAAGCCTTCCAGCCTACTCAAGTTTACACTGTCACTCCCGATTCCCTTCAGCCCACATCGGCAAACATCATCCATGACAGTATTGTAGCCGACTCAAAGCAGATTGATCCCGCTGTTGTTAGGTGTTCTCAGCATTTTCAACACTGGGCACCACTAGAAGATGTGGGTCATCAGGCTGTGCAAGAAGCCACCAACCAGACAATAGAAACTTTTGCATTTCAAGAACAGCAGCAGAGTAGCACATACCAAGCACACGACCAACATTATCCTGTTTCAGTTTCCAATTCCCATTCAGTACAACCTGTTTTGATAAAGGATATTTATCCCTTACACCTGCACCAAAAACAAGAAAAAGAACAGTCTCTTCTTGGAATAAGACATTCCAGAAAAACCCCAGCAGATTCAGTAATTACCCCTAAAGAGCACAAATCGGCAGAAGATTCAGATAAAGAAGTATCTTTAAAAAAATATTTTCAACAAGCTGCTGTTAATTTATTCTTCAATGAGAGATTAAAATCGCCAGGTAGGTTATTATGAGTAGGATGTAGTATTTTGTATTAGCTTTTGAAAATAGTGAGTTAAGTTTTGAGGCATTTTACCAGCACTGTGGTCTGGGTTGAATCCTCACTGGCAGTATATTTTTTCTAAAGTCAGTTGAACCTGATAAGGTAAGAACCATAGAAGTGGCAAGGTTGAGATTTTGTCATTGGCCTCGTAATTGTATCTCTCTCATCTTCTTCATCACTCATTTGGGTGATATAAACATCATGTCTGTTTACATTAAAGTTGCAATATTTGCGCCTTTCAGCCAACATATGACGTCTTTAGGCTTTTGTTTTCCAGATTAATTTGCCTGGTTAATTTTATGTGACATTTGAAGCCTTATATATGTGGTGACTTCATCCCAAGATCCACATGTATTGTCTCTAGAGGACCTGTCCAGAGCAGCCACGCGCAGCTTGGTCGATCCTTAAGGAAAGATGAGGCCAGAGCATGGGCATTCTCCGTCATCCGAGGAGGCTTCCATAAATGCAGAACCAATACATGGTGCTCTGGTACCAGGCTTACCCAAGAAATTATGTCCTGCACATGACTGCTTTAGCCTCACACTCTTATATTGAGCCTTTCACTCATTACGATCTGCATTCTTTATGGATCCCCAGGAAGCAGTCTGCACACCCAAGACTCTGATTCCCTGCACAAATGTGCATCTGACTTCCTTGGCATGTTTCTCTTTGACAGTAGAACCCTTCACGCGGATGCCGTAGGCACTTCTTGCTGCATTTATGGGAAGCATGCATTAGGCATGGCTTCCCTGTATGGCCATTACACTCTGACGAGTGTGGCTGTTGGTAGCAGATGTTTGAACCTTTTGTGTGTGTCATAAACTAGACTGAGCTAAGAACATCTGAATCTTTGCTGTTGTAGAGTAAGACACTGAGTAAATGAATACATGAACCTAAGCAGCCATACAGTAGGAGTCTCGGTCAACAGATGTTTGAACCAAGGTTTGTGACATAGTAAGAATTTTGGACAACAGACATATGTACCAGATTTTATCATTTAATAGGGTATTTCTCTGTTGTTCCAAAAAGAGTTTTTGTATACGTTATCACCCATGCACAGGGGGTGGGCTGAGTGCCAGAGGATTTCTGGGCACTAAATTTCAGGGGATCACAAACTCTGAGATCCCCTGCAACGTGATTTAGGCCAATGTAGGCCATTATCCATAGTGCATTACCAGATCGTTTGGCAAGAGTCTTTGTTTGTGGATTGATCAAACTAGCGCAGAGCCTGCTGGTGTCCAAAGTCAGGTATGGAGTATCTTTTTATACACATCATAGTTGCCTAAACTTTCCCTCACACCTCTGACTGAAATCGCTGTCCCACATCTCTCTCATCAGTCTTTGTCCTCTTACACATCCTGTGTTGAGGTGAATTATGAAAGGCAGGAGAGTGCCTATTTATCTACTTCAAATATGGTAGTTCCTCAGGACTCTATTCATCCCTCTGTCTGTTGTTTACTTGGTCGGTCTTTCTTTCACTTTTCCACTTTATCCATACATCAGTGCTGTTTGTGGTATAGTGTCTCATGGCAGACAAATTTAATAGTGTAGTCACTTCACATGTTGTCTGATTAATACTAGCGCTTCTGATACCCAATTTTGTTTCGGTATTTATCGTAATTTCATCTTCAGCTGATGATAATATTTTCCATAGAATAGACTTCATCCTCTGACATGATTTTTTTGCTCCTCTACATTAACTTTATTGAGTACATTTTCCATTTGCTGTTATTAGGGTACCAAAGTACTCCAACGAATTGACTTGCTTTCGACTGGTCCAATTTAGTTTGATTTTGTATTTTGAAGGGCATTTAAGAAGAAGGAGTTTTTTTTTTTTTTCTGGTCTGTGTAAATTCCATTATTTCTGTTCCTACTTTATTTAAACTAAGACCGTTGTTTTGATTTTTGCCTAATTGTTATATCCACCATTTCTTGTAACTGCATTCAGTTTTCAACAATCAGAATTATATCTTTAGCTTACTTCAGTTTATTTTAAAAAAAAAAATTTTTTTTACATCCTGGTCTCTATCCTTTTAAATACTGTTTTTGGTTGAGCTTTATTTCATTTTTTGTCTGCTGCGTTTAGGGTACCCAAGTACTCCTAACCTATGTATTTATAACAATTAGAATTATACCGTTAGCATATTGCAGTGTTTTGTGTGTGTGTGTGTCAAAACGTTAATTGCAACTGAGAACCTGATAGTTTTAGTAATAGTAAACAAACAGCCCTCTATAGCACCTTGTTTCTGTGTGTTGAAAAAAAAAATCTTTTTTTTTTTTTTTTTTTGCTCTCTGTTGCCATCGTATGTGTTTTTCACAGATCTTTGCCATCAATGTTTAGGTTTTCCACAATTCTAATTATTTTAATGAATCGCCTTATCGAGATTTAGTGTAGCCACTACACCACACAAGTTAAAAAAAGACTGCTCATGTCAGTTACTTTTTTTCTGTTTATATTACATGTCTGTATGTAGTTTTTGATTTTTAAATTTTTATTTACATTGTTTTAAGTTTTTACAATCATTGTATTTTTGTTGTTTATTGTTCATGTGTTATATGAAATCACTCTGTTGTGTTCCTGGCACATTTGTGTCAAGTAATATAATAAATTTTAGGTTAATGTTAACTTTGTATTTAGTGTTATTCCTTATTAGTTATTTGTGTTCAGCAGTCCCTGTCACATTTTATCAAGTCTGCTTGGGAAGTTATAAATTATGTCACAAAGGATAATCCTACAGAGTCCCTCAGTGGTAGTGGAACGCTAGATTTGGATGTTAGTGCTGTTTGGGATTATTATTTATTTATACAAATGTATTTATCAGCTGTATTAAACTTGATGCTTTTAGCAATATAATTCCAGTGTTATGTTTTTATTTGCTTTATTACTAATATACTACCTAATGTTTATCATGTGTTATGTGATGCCATATGTAACAATTTGTCTTGCTTGTTTGAGTGGCTTTGTTGCTGCAGGATTTTGTTTTTCTGGCTGCTGGGACTGATTTAAAATGCTTCTTCTTCCATTTGCTTGAAATAAATTATCTATATCTGTAATGTTGTCTCTAGCTAGTATAAAGTTCACTGTCTTTGTAATTCACTCATCGACCCGTAAAGTTTGACTTGCACCGATGTTTCTTTTGACCAAAAGTGTTGCCTTGATATGTTGTATTTGGGACAGTTTTGAAGTACATGATCTATTGTCTCAGGTGCCAGTCCACATGTGCACATGGGTGATTCGCCGATTTTAAATTGTGTGTACATGTGGCTGCGAAGTCGATTGTGTCCTGTTCTAAGGCGTAGAATAATAACTTGCTCTGGTCTGTACATAAATGGTAATCATCTTATGTCGGTTTTGATGGCTTTCTGATTGATTTATTCTCTTCTTTTGTTGATAACAGACTGGTACGTCAGGTTGTTCTTCATTTGCACCTTCCTCAGCTAGTTTGTCAGCTCTTTCATTTCCAGGAACTCCACAGTGGGATGGTATCCATTGCATAGTTACCTTACACGGGCTGCCTGTTTGGAGAGTAGTGTTCGTATACCAGGTAGTTTTCCAGATTGGAGTGCCTGAAGCACCGCTCTTGCATCTGTCAGAAATACTACGGGTTGTGAAATATGACGTATATTTAAGTTTCTCTGCTGCTATTTTGACAGCTTGAACTTCTGCATCATCGTTGTGACAGTACTTTCCTGTAGGTGTTTTAGCTGTATATCTGGTATTATCTGCATGCTCAATATACACTCCTGCTCCTCCATTTCTGCTTATGTTTTGTGCTGACCCATCCTTATTGACACGAACCCAAAGGTTATGTGGGTATTCGTCAAGTAGAGCGAGGGTGGCTGTTTTACGTTGCATACTGTTTTGTTCTTTTTTGTCGAATACTTCTCTCACTTCTTTCTGGATGTATTGGCAACTTTCCAAGGAGTCCGATCTGGATTAGCATTTGAGGGGCTATCAGTTGCAGGCAAATCATTGGTTAGCCTGCAGAGTCGTTGGGCCTTGGTGAATGAAACTGCTTCTTTTCAGTCGCCCCATTGCTAGATTTTGGAATCTTTCTTTCATAGATTGTTCAAGCAAGATAAGAAACTTTTCTGCTTGTATTAGTATCTCAGTGTCTGTTCATTCTGTCAATGCTTGAGTCATTGCCATCTTCTCCATCACAGCTATAGGTGTTGATTTCATCCCTCCTGTTATGACTCTGAGCGCTTGATTTTGCACCTTGTCTAACTTTTGTAGTGTGGTTTTTTTAATGCTGAACTTCCTGCTGTAGACCCGTGTTCAAGGTGTGGTAGTACACTTTGTTGATAAACTTCCTTAAGTATTTTCCAGTATGCGTCCCATGTTGTTCCACTTAGTTTTATTAGGATAGCTATCTTCCTTCTGGCTTTGGTTGCTGCCTTGTTGATGTGTTTTCTCTATGTTAACCTATCATCAAATGTGACACTGTATGTGGGCTCCTTATTCTCTCTTAGTGGTATTCTATTAATCTGAATGACACCTGCTTTTTGTTTTGGGAAGAGGGTGAAGAGAGTGGTGCTACACTTGTCTGTGTTGATGCTGACACACCATTTATCAGCCCATGCAGCCATTGTATCTATGGATCTGTGTAGCAGTCAAGTGGCCACTGTTGCATATTTATATCAAATAAAGCTACTGAATTGCTTTAGTATAATCAATCATGTATTTAAAAAACTGTTTCTGAACTGAACATGAAAATTAAAAACAGATGGAAACTGGTCACCAGACATGCATACAGGGAACTAGCATATTTAAAATCATTTCACTTCACACTTGTACAGGTGTAAGTTCATTTGCATTATTTTAATATGCATCTGAATTTGAATGATGCTAACCTGTAGATAGTCAACATTGTGTTTCTGTTGTCTTCAACAGGGAGTAAAGTCTTTCCAGCCAGCAGACCAGGGACTGTTCAAGTCAAGATGTCTGAAGGTGAGGCTAGGGAAACCTGTGGTATAGTGCAGCTTGTCTCACTCATAAGTTGATAACATAGACAACATGTATCTATGGCCGGGACTGGAGTGAAGATATAGAGCTCCACATATAGTTTGTGAAAGCATTTAAATAAATAAAACCCCATTTTCAGAATCAGGCACACAGGAACATTATGTGTAGTAATATTGCCTACTGTTAGGTTTCCATGCAATAGTCCTGTCATGTTCTGCAACTGAGATTAGAAAAGCAACACATGGAACTGGCCAATAATTGTACCTCTCTGGGTCAAACTCTTATGCATTGTGTTAATATCTCGAATACAAGAGCAAAATATATTGGAGAAACATTTATTTATTTTTAATCATAAGTTGAAGTATATACAATCTGATGAACAGAAAAGAATTGTGTATGTATTGTATGTGTTCTGCTGGCCAGTTGTATATATAATTTTAACAAATGGTCAGCGAATAAATGTTTTGAAAAACGTATGGAAGCATTTGAAATATGCTATCATATAATTACAAAAATTATAAATGAACAGTATATTAAAACTATAAAAGAACAAAAATGGCTTCTTCATTCGTCTGTTTGTTTGTTCGTTTAAATGTAGTTGCTCTGTGCCTTTTTATGTAAGTTCTGTTATATTTGTGTGTTCCAAGCAACATATCTGACCACTTTAGACACTTGTTAAATGACTTTCCTGCTTATAGTGATCAAGAATGAAGACTAGTTGGATTAAGGAGCAATGGACAGTGTTTATGCAAATCTGTCAATGCAGAGGTACACATAATTCAAGAGAGTGTCACAAGACAGGCAACTGGAATAAAATGATTATGAAACTTCATGACCAACCCATGGGCTGAAATACTTCGTGATGAGGATGGTGATGTTTCTCATGAAGTCTGAACAGCCATCAGAGTTCAACTAGCGCATTCTGAGAGAGAATTGTATTTTGTAGTTATGTGCAGGACATGTGGTTTCATGGATGAACCTACATACAGGCCTCCATGTTATCAGTTCTGCATTAGTAAAAGCATTCATACATAGCAGACTTTCTCTTACAGCCTCAAATATGAAAAAGTTTCAAATAGAATAGAAAGAAATTATGAACCTGCCACTGAGAAAATGATTAATGTAAACAACTCCTCATCAGATGTGCACTTACTTATGCAAAGACTATTGTATTAAACCTGTAAATTAGGAAGCACTTGGAGATGGGGCTTCTAAGATGACCAAATCTTAAGCAGCAATAGTAACCAACAATTATAACTATAAGAAAGAGAAAAATAGTATGCTGTATGAAAAAAAAAAAAAAATCAAGGTGAGCAAGTCTAAAAGGGAAACAAAATTATTCAGCCAACCAATGTGTGGGAAAGGAGGGGGTAGATAGAAAAGATAATTGGCAGCAGAGGTGGTGGTGGGTAAAGAGAGAGCGATAGTACGTTACCCTGAGTGGTAGCCATATCCCAAAGAATAGTCCAAGATCTTTCTTGGCTCTCATCTCCTGGCCTTGCTCATGTATGGCTCCATGAATACTGCTTTGCGTGGCAGTGGCCACACCATTGGCACTGTCCTGGTGTTAGGTGGATGATCTGTGGGTGTACTTATAGATATGTAGTTTGAACTTCTGTGGGCCTGTGCTGTCTCCACAACACCCTCACCCTGAGCTTGTAGATTACTACCTGACATGATTGTGCTGGATAGTATGTTGTTGTAATACTCAGATTATATTGACAGTAAAAATGTCATCAGTTAAGAACAGACACAACATTTCACTGTTTACCGATGACAAAAGATGCCATGATTCTATCACTATTTACTTTATTCAGTTAGTACACTTCTAAAAATGCAGTTAAAAACAACTTGTAAGAAACTTTATTTAATAAGCAGCACTAGCGCCAACAGCTGGATTACTACATATTGTGCTTCAGCCATAAATTATCAGTTGACACTGAAACTATATGTCAGCATCTGTCCATGTGTTGCTTCTAGCTGACCGTAAGCTCAATCTTTGTCTTAGTTCAATTTGCACACACCTTTATTTGTTAGACTTAGATATCACATGTTGAAAATATGATACTTGGACCTTCTTTGTGTCTTGTTATGGCACTAACCTTTATCCCAAATACAAGCCTTTTTTTTTTGTGTGTCAAAGATTAGATTGTAATTGTTTTTTAAATGTACATTTTGAATTTCAAATATTAGGTCTTAGTTGAAAAAAAAAAAAATCTTGTTTGAAGTTGTTGTACATATATTTCAGACCTCAAATTTCATGAAATGCTAAAACCTTTGTCGTGGTTGTTTGGCAAGTGGCAGTCAACAGATGGCAAAGGCATATATCCAAATGTAGCTGATTTTACCTATAGTGAAGAGGCTACATTTCTGCCTGTAGAAATGAAACCTGTGGTTGAGTACAAGTAAGTTTTTGAACTTGTTTCACTCCTCAATTCCAAATTCAATGTGTCATTAAATGCATACCAAATGCAAAATATCTGCCTCACTCAAAGTATGCTCAAGCTTATAAAGTATGCAGTTGAGCATTCATGCAGTATTTATTTCAGTTTATGCCATTTAAACACATACCACAGTGTGGCAAACTCAACAACAAACAAAGGTATCAGTTATTGGTTACATTCATGTTCTTATGATGATGATGATGAGAAGCCATACATGTTAATGCCATAATAGTAGAAGACACCTTATTTTGCTTTCCTACATATTTTAATAGTTCTTGTTTCCTGTCATTTGGAACCAGATTGACACAACACATCTTTGGAACCAGATTGACAAAACACATCTTTGGAACCAGATTGACAAAACACATCTTTGGAACCAGATTGACAAAACACAATTTTTTTTTTAAAGTAAATCAGCAAAGGAAAAAAGCAAATTATACTTATGTCATGTACATCTGACGTGTCGATGTGCATTGATGTGCATATATTCTAATGTAGAGGATTTACAAGGGTGACAGAATGGAACATCAAGAAACAGTTTACGTTAGTGTGATGAAATTGTCTTTTCATCTTCTTCTTTACTTCTTCTTTTGCAGCTTCAGATTTCAAGGGAGACACTCTTGCAACCATTCTTACACATCTTATTTCCTTGATTACTAATTTTCTTTTCTGGTTTGTTGCCTGCCGAGAGCATGACCTCCATAGCTCCAGTGACGATCCCCAGAGAGCTCCATAAAAATTGTAGTCATGAACTGAACAGCACCACCATGAAACAAACCCACAACCTTCAGGGCAAGAGGCAAACAGCTTGACCACTTCTCTACAGGCTTTGTAAGAAATGGTGGGAGTGCTGATTTGAATTGTCTTATGCTGTAAGAGGGAGGTTAGCTGTCCCAAAACTTGACTTGCTTTAAAGCACTTGATGTTATTTTGTTCAGTCAGTTTACTTTGTTTAGTGAGTGTTGTTCGCAAATATTTTAACTAGGATACCTGTTTAACGACTTTGCACCAGGGTTGCCATTTGGTCTTTTTAAAACCAGATTTGAGCAATCTGCCTAATTTGGAAAGTGGTCGGCCTTTAAAAAAAGTTTTAGACCTTGTGGTCAATTTCTGGCTTATTCCCTATGCAACAAACATTTTTCTAAAAATGTATATAATTCTTTAAAGTAAAGTAGGTAAATATGCATAAATTAGTTTTTAAAAGTCCATTTTGGTTAGCATTGTTAAAATACAATCTGCTTAGTGTTAAAGTTTGTGAAAGATTATGGCTTGTTGGAGGAAAAGTCCTGTTTAATATTCTGATGAACTGGCAAGAGCTGAAGGCTTTCTTTACTTGTGCATGGAAAGATGGACCTAGATATTAAAGCACAGTTGTTAAAAGAAAATCTTGTCAGACAACAAGGAATATTTGTATTTGAGTTTGCATCATCTGTTGTGCATAGATTTGAGAGACCTAATGGTCTTTTTCAACAGTTTTAGGCTGATCCTCATCAGTTGTACCAGGAATTGTTCACACACCATCAAAATGGAACAGGCTCTATACTATCAGTTGATGGAAGAAAATAGTGCAGCCCATGTTGAGTTTGGAACCAAATTCTAAAAATTATAGAATGAGTTTATACAACAGAATAACAGTCCACAGGCTCTTCAAGTAAAATACCAACAAGCCAATTGTTTGGCTATATTAGAAGAAACTTTCCAGCTTATTACACAATGTCTTCCTCCAGTTCAGAGATATATTTCAGTGCTTGTCAAAACTGAACCCTATGATAATTTCAGGCCAAGCATAAAAACCTTTATTTGCTGAACTACCATTGATGCACACTAGTGGTAGTTCGTTGATGCACACTAATGGTAGTTCATTGATGCACACTAATGGTAGTTCATTGATGCACACTAATGGTAGTTCATTGATGCACACTAATGGTAGTTCATTGATGCACACTAATGGTAGTTCATTGATGTACACTAATGGTAGTTCATTGATGCACACTAATGGTAGTTCATTGATGCACACTAATGGTAGTTCATTGATGCACACTAATGGTAGTTCATTGATGCACACTAATGGTAGTTCATTGATGCACACTAATGGTAGTTCATTGATGCACACTGGGAGAAATCAATAGTGAAGTAGCAGAACAATACAGAAAAATAATTTTTGTTGATTGGAAAGAAGAATTCCCATTTAAGACAGATGGATTTCTAAGAGACAATTTGATTTATGTTTGTCCTAAATTGACAGGTCTTTATAGGGAAGAGATAGACTTCATAATTGAGCTATCACTCCTCAACACAGAAATACCAAAAGACTGCAGAAATGGCTCAACTATAATTTTATCTAAGGGTTTTGTCCCAGGATAGTAAGCAGATATATAAGCAGGATATAAGCAGACAGAAATTCCTGTTGTAGGAACCAGATGGTTGATGGGATCCACTGAAGTAGAAAATGTGGACACCTTGGAGATATCTAAAAAAACCACACACACACACACAATTTATATAGCTCCTAACTGTGTTTCACGGTACTGATGAAGAAGCATTCTTGTAGAACAACAATACATGCTTATAATTGAAATAATAAGAATAAAGTCGAAACTTCAGCATTTATCTCACCAAAAATGAAACAAAATATATTAGTCATGAACTACAACTAGCCAAAAATGCAGAGCCAAGGCACTATGGTTCACAAACCTTTGGGACAGAGAAAAAATTTGATCAAGAGCATGACAAATTTGCTCTTATAACTCGTTAATCTGACACACATCAGCACTTCCTTCAGTTCAAGTTCCAGAGGGCTCCAGTCAGAGGCTTATGAATGAACATCCTAATAGTAGCTCACTGGACTAGGAATACATTTTAGTGTCGTGAGCAGACATTTTACTGCAGTTTTTAGCCTCAGTCCTAAGGTTCAGATTCTGAGTTCTGCTAATTTCTTGAATCAAACTGGAAGATTTACACATACAGCAGAAGCCAGATAAAGTACTGGCAGTAAAGCAATCAGCCAGTATGTTCAGGATCTGTTCAAGGGTCAATCTCTCCCTTTCAGATCACCTGTAGATAACTGGTAAACTCAATCAGATCAGATTGTAGATTGTTATTAGGTTCAGAATCCAGTTTCTACCTTTCTTTTGGATTGGACAGCCTGACATCTCATTAACACCCCACATCCTATAGCTGATTTAAGACCGGCTGTAATCTACACAGCCACTGGATTCAGGATCCAGTTTCTGCCTCTCTCTTGGATTAGACTGAAGGAATTCTCTTTTAACACCATACAAAACTTTTTGCAGATTTTAGACTGCCATGACTGCAACCGGCTAGTAACAAAATAACACAATCTGGATAGTAGACATTCTTTGTCCCATAGAGATTGCAGCAACTGCATCATTGTGTCACATTTATATATGTGGATTTGACATTTTGTCCCATAGAGATTGCAGCAACTGCATCATTGGGTCACATTTATATATGTGGGTTTGACATTTTGTCCCATAGAGATTGCAGCAACTGCATCATTGGGTCACATTTATATATGTGGGTTTGACATTTTGTCCCATAGAGATTGCAGCAACTGCATCATTGTGTCACATTTATATATGTGGGTTTGACATTTTGTCCCATAGAGATTGCAGCAACTGCATCATTGTGTCACATTTATTTTTGTGGGTTTGACATTTTGTCTCATAGAGATTGCAGCAACTGCATCATTGTGTCACATTTATATATGTGGGTTTGAAATTTTGTCTCATAGAGATTGCAGCAACTGCATCATTGTGTCACATTTATATATGTGGGTTTGACATTAATATTCAGAATGTTGTAGTTAATATAGTCATAACATTGCAATTGAGAGGTCACCAGTTAGTCTTATCAGGTTTCTCAGCATGGGTTTGATATCGATCTTGTGAAAGTTTGATTTTTCCAGCTATCTACATTTTTTTTTTTTCCCCAGAATGCATTCTTGGAAAACTGAAAACAGAATGCCAATGCATCGAGAGACTGGGTATATCAAAATACAGCCAAATACCAATCATGTTGCTTTTGTAGCTGCACATATCATGGGTACGTTTCTCTTCTGCAGAACTATACATTAGTTACTAGCAACTTTCTTTTACTTTTGTTGTGTTGTGAGATCTAACTTGACATGTACATTGTAAAACTGAGGATTTTACCATTCTGAACAGCTGAATAACTAAGAAGACAAAAGGGTCACAAATGGGATCAGATCTGAAAAGGTGAAAATGATGAATCGAAGCAACATGATTAAGGATAAATAATTTGTACAACTTAAACAATTTTACTCATAGACCCTTGCAGTATTTGTCAGGTTTCACTGAAGGTTTTGTTCAATTTGAGGCAGAACTTTTTGTGTAATCATTGTTCTTTAAGATTCTTCCTTGCTTAATGCTTCATAAATGGTCATGTTCCCTACACATGACTTTTGGTGACCTAAAGTCAGGGTTCATAGTGGACCGGGAAATCTTGAATTTACCGTGAATTTGATTCTGCGACCAGGAACAGTGATTTTGACCTTTAAAAAGACATTCTGACCTTGAGAAGCCGTGAATTTTGACCGCCGCAATGAGATTGTCAGAAGTCCTGTGATTTTCGGCAGTGCTTTTTTTTTTTTGCAATTTGGCTTTTTTTTGGGGCCATTTGGCTAGTTTTGGCTACTTTCGTTTACGGTCGTTTCAGGTATGAGGGCAGCTGACTGTCGGCTATTTTCAGCCGAAATGGCTTGTTAAAGAGAAGGGCGGGCTGTGTTGCAGCTCATGAATACATGCAGACAGCGCAGCATGGCATGGGGCGGGAAGGAGCAGCTGCCGTCTCGTGTGTGCTTGTGCCTTTGTTTCTAGGTCCGGCAATAGTATAAATAGCTTTATGGCCATGGTTTCTAGAAAGGATTACATTGGGAGATGGTGGGGCTCGGGTCCGTCTGTTTTAAAAATAGAATCGGCTGTTGGTGGGCGCTAAGCAAAGTGACGTCAGCTGGATTTCCCAGTTCTATTTTTGTTCTGGTTTATCTTTACAGTGTCTTTGGCGATCAATATTGTAATTCCCCGAGATTACTTCTTTTGTTGTCTCACCCCCCCCCCCTCTCTCTCTCTCTCTCTTTCTCTCTCTCTCTTCCCTCCCTCTTTCACTCGTCTACCTATTGCTCCTTCCTCTTTCTCTCTATCTTTCCTTTTACTCTCTCATGTCCTGTCTCTCTCTCTCACCCCCTCCCCCTTTCTCCTATTTTATTTCTTGTTTAAATGTTTAGTAAACATGCTGCTCCATAACTCTTTTCCTAGTAACTCAAGTACACAGGAAGTTGTGTTATGGTTGGGGGTTGAGAGGGGGAGGGGGGGGGGAGGGGGTTCAGCGTGAACATGGTGGATATTGTCTTTTGATGTGTTTGTTTTCTTAGCAGGCCTTAGTCTCTTACCTGCCCCCTCACATTTTGTCCTACCTGTTCCTTACTCTCTGATTGTCTGTCACTGCCTTCCTCTCTCTTTCTCATTGTATTTGCGACTCTCCCTCACTCCCCCCCCCCTCTCTCCCTCTCTTTCTCTATACCTTTAATTGGCGTAGAAGGTTATGTGTTGCCTAGTGCAGAACATGTCATGTCCACCACTCCCACACATATTAAATATATGTGAACTTTTAAAAACACATTTGCTGTCACTCTCGTTTCTCCTCCTTTGATGACACAGGAAGGGGGGGGGGGGGGGGGGTGCACCCCTTCCTGCTACCTTCTTCCCTCTGTATCTCATCTTATTTATTTCTCCCTTCTTTCTCTTCCTGTCTCAGTCCCCACTTTCTTTTCTTAAACTTTATTCTCTCTTTCTCTCACCTTTCTCACCTCCTCTGTCTCACCCTTACCACCTCCTCTCCCCTCTCCTTTCTGTAATTGGAAAATCAGAAATAAAACTGAAGTCCACTGGTGCCCTGACCTATTTTTGTGTGTGTGGGTAACCTGCTCTATTTTCCACCAGTGGTGGGTTGGGATCCCCTGGACTTTTTTTCTTCATAAAATGACCTTGGATCTCTTGTCACCAGCCTTAAGTGTTAGAAATGGAACTATTGTTGTCAGACGCAGATTGGATAAGCATGGAGCAGTAAGGGTTAGCACTATTTATGGACCACGGCCACATTCACATTGGGAGAGGGTAGGAACCGGAAAAGTGGCCTCACTTAGATTTCCTAATTCTATTTTTGGCGCTCAGTGTTCTTACTGCCCCCACCCCACCATGTTTTACCTCTCTTCTCTCACCCCTTCTCTTTCCTTTAATCTTACACTCTTCTCCTTTATCTCTCCATCCATCCTTTCCTTATTCTGTTCTCTCTTGCTCTTCCTCCTGTCCCATCTCTTTTTTGTCTCCTCTCCATTCTGTCTTCTCATTTTCTCTAGATTTCCTTAAACGGGCATCATCTGTCATTTTATGCTTTTACCCCTTTTAAGGAGGAGATCGGAACAACAATGGATCTGGCTGAAGTGCTTTGATGATAATCTTCTTAATCACTACTGTAATCTTTCCCCTCATACCTGTTAGAAGAGTTAGCTCTGCTGGATGATGCATGTGAATCCTTTCCTTCAGGAAAGGCTTGAGATCCACTACTGGGCTACTTTTCTTCTCCCATGTGTCTTTGCATTTCTTTGTGCCTCTCAATCAGTTGTTGACTCCCCACCTGCTGATTAAACTTTCAAACATTCTCAAAGCCCATCTGGTTTTATCTGTGTCCTAAAAGATTGTGAAAAACCAGTAATGTGGTTTTTCACTGGAGCCACCATCACCATGTCTGGGCTTTCTTTCTCACCAGGCTTGTTTTTCCCTTTATGGGAAGGTCAGAAGGGTAGAGCAGACCTTTGTTAACTGGGAAGTAAATCCACCAGAAACTAAATATGCTTATTCTGTCTTAAAGAGATAATGCAAATCCAGTCCTAAAAAGTTGTTTTGAAGTTGAGCTTTGGGGAATATAAGTTTCACAGTAGAAAGGACACAACTTAGCAAATGTTCTGTTCAGTCAAGCAGGAAAGAAAATTGTGGACATCAAAGCTACAAGGTGAGTCACACCCAGTAATTTTAGGGCTCTAATCTAAAACAGTGGGGATGGCAGCAACATAAACATGATAGCTCATTATAAAATTGTGTTGATTCGTTTGCAGGAGTGGTTGAGATTCAGGAAGGTGAAATTAATGGCCAGGAACTTTGTGTAGAAAGTAAGAATGTTGGACGTACATCTTTCAATTCACCTCCAGAAGTAAAACTGGTGAGAAAGAAATAAATAGCAGATATGTTACATATGAATTTGACATAGTGGTAGGGGTTGTTTTATGACAGTTTACATGTGAAATTGTTGTTTGCTTCTATACTAAGAGTTACCTTTCATTGGCATTTCAAATGTTCCTTTTGAGAATGAAAATGTGTCCATATTATTTAGTGGAATGACTCATGTCTAGAAATATACTTTCATTTGATAGCTGCAATTCTTCATGTTGGTTGGTGTGTTGACTCACATGAAGGTTATACTTTCAGTGTTTCTTCATCTGTCTTTATCCACTAATAGAGCATTGGCTCTGAACCAACACTTCAGGTCATCTATTGCTATTGCATGTAGCTCACTCACTCCATGCATTTGGGAGGGGGGAGTCTGCTTTCTTCTTCTGACTCTGAAGGTTCCAGTAGGGATTTTGGTTATTATGTTACCAGGTTATCTCAAAATGTCAAGTTTTGGGACAGCTAACCTCCCTCTTACAGCATAAGACAATTCCAATCAGCACCCAAAACAATTTCTTACAAAATATGTGGAGAAGTGGTCAAGCTGTTTACCTCGTCCCCTGAAGGTCGTGGGTTCGTTTCACCGTGGTGCCGTTCAGTTCATGAGTACAATTTTTATGGACCTCTTTAGGGATCGTCACCGGAGCTATGGAGGTCATGCTCTCGGCAGGCAGCTGTTATGTGGAGAGAGACTGAGCCATATGGGATAAACCCGGTGCAATGAAGTCGATCCTCTTTGCCTTTACCATTTCCAATGCCAGTGTCTTTTCCTTGCCTATTCATTCTGTTACAGAGTTCTACATTAGTCATTATATATTACCATTTAAAATTTTTTTTCTGTTTTGCCTAATCATCATTTAAGTAAATGTTTGTAATATATAATAGTTGTTTAAGTTGTTCTTTGTGTTTCAACTACATACAATAATAGTGATTTGACATTAGAGCTAAATATGTCAAGTTTTGAACAAGATGGCAGCAGTCATTGTTGTATTTTGTAACTGCTACTGGCGTGCATAAACAGTATAGGATTCATCCATTTTGTGGGTAGTCAGTGTGGTGCAAAAATTACATAGGAATTCAATTTTTTTTTAATTTCCATTAGTTCTACAGTTTTGTGCCCCCGAGCTGGTACCATCCTGAAAGCGTTCAACAGCATGATGTGTTTGTTATCAACATGGCAGGATGGAATAGGGCAATGATTTTGACTCGGGTGGTTAGTACCCACAGAATTAAGCGAGGATGGCGCAACTGTAAGGGCAGGCATGGGGAAACAAGAAGAACTTGACTCAAATTCATCTGTATAGGCCTGAAGAATATTCATATTTTAAACTGGAACTACGCAAGTATCAAACAACGCTGACCCATACTCGATAATTTTGTCTACAGATCAGACATTGTGGCCCTGCAGGAGATGCGCCTTACTGATGGAATGCTACATATAGCTGGATAGAAATGTTCATATAACAGGCCCCATCTGGCAGTGGCCATCATTGCATGCAATAACATAAGGGTCTCTGAAGTAGACATATCTTGATTGGACAGTGATGAGCTAAAACTTCAAGTAGGGTCCAGTCAGAGCATTTTTTTTTTGTTGGTTAATGTATATGCATGTAATGGACGAGTAGAAGCTCAGAAATAACTGTGTTTGAATAAAATATCTCTCAAGAGGGGAAAATCATCTTCTGTGGCGATTTCAATGCCAAAAGCAAGAAATTTGGAAAACTGTTCTTCCAGCACTGAAGGAGAGATGTTTGAAGATGCATTTGAGTCTACCAATCTTGAATGCATCAACAATGGCTGTATCACCAGAATGGTGACAAAGACAGTTGCTGTTGACCTGACACTAGTATTGCCTTCACTCATGTCTGTATGCTGGTAGAGTGCCCTAGGGCAGCATGATCATTTTCCCAAGTGCATACTGGTGAAAAAAAGGCAGGTCAAAGAAGTATAAGCCCAAAGTGCAGTATTTCAGGTCAACACTACAGGGCAGGATGTCTTGAGTAGAATCCAGTGTAACAAGTGTGAAACACACGTTGGTAGGAAATACTGGGTAATAAGGTGCCAAGTTGCCAGAAAGCATGTTTCAAATATTTGTAGTGCCAGTGAAATGGAGAAAACAAGATTGTGTGTGTGCAGATGAAATTACGGCTGTGGTAAAGCAGACAGAAACAGTGCATCGGGCCCAGATGGCATCCAGTATAGAGACATTGCTCGGCTGTCTGATAAGAGTTAAGAGGACTGGCGAGTTTCTACATCATCAACATTGAAATTGTGACAATCAGTGAAGACTGTGGCTGTACAGTTACCTGATACTTTTGCTAAAGTCTAGTAAATACAAAAGAATACAAGGCTAGCGTGTAGTCACAATGCAGAGTACAATTGGAAAGATGCTGGAAAAGATAGTTGCAAAGAAAATATGCTATCTTGAGCAGTTATGTTCCTTCCGCCCACCCTGGGAGGATATTGTCCTGTTGGTATGCAATGATCTATGCATATGCTGTATGTGAGAGATTCCACTCAGACATACACACTTGCACTGCTGGAGTTAACCTTGAAGACACATACAACAGGGTACCATTTGGTCAGCTTCTTAATCTCAGTCTCAGCCCTTTTCTCACTAGTTGAGATCTCATTGATTCTCTTAAAGTGGAAGTTGGTGTTTTAGCTGGGCATCTGAACCAATAACTGTTCACCGCGATCTGCCTCATAGTTCACCTTTGGCCGATACTTTTCAGTGTTTTCACCATGAGAATCAAAGGTGAACAGATCATGGGGCTTGGGAGGACCTTGTCCTACACTTATAATATTTTGGTATACTATCAAGGCAGAGACTGGAAGCAGGTTGCTGAGGACCTTCAGACAGAACTTGGTTGCATAAGTAGGTGGTGTGTTGAAGCAGGAGCTCTCGTCAATGTGTCAGTTTTTGCTGAATAACTATGTTATTTATACCAGTGTCTGGTCCTTTCTGTAATTGAGTAGGCTCTGGTGAATCTGACTCAGCCGCACACAGAGAGGGAGAGACTAGATTAGATACAGAATGTGACCAAGAGCATCATTCTTGGATGCACACATGAATATGGCATACAGGGTGATGCTTTACCTTCTTGATTTTCCAACCATGGAGGTCAGAACAGCAACAGCCATGCACATGCGTGTCTGCTAAAAGTCCACTGCACAGTGAGATTCTTAGGAAGAAGATTAAAGATAGGAAAATGTTGACTGGGTGAGGCTTGATCAACTCAGGACATAGAACGTGATGAGGAATGGGTACAGGTACCAGCAAAATGTTGTACATCCTTTTCAGTCTGCATAAAACTGGATGAAAAGTTCAACATACAGAAGATACAACATGAAAGTAAATACAACTAAAACTGAAGTAATACAGGTCAGTAGAATTCCTAGTCCCCTACATATTGGGTTGAATGGTTCTTGTCTGAAGCAGGTTCGAGTATTTGAATATCTAAGAAGCATATTCTCGAAGGACAGGAGAATAGATCGGGAAATAGAAACAAGATGCCAACGAGCCAGTGCACTCAGATAACAGCTGACCCGTTATTAAAACATCCAAACATAAGCGCCAGGAAACAAATTATAAAGAGGTTATTTATACCAGTGCCATACTTGGACATTGTCAAAGGCTAACATAAGCAAAATTAACACATGTGAAATTAGACGCCTGAGAAAAGCTTCTTCTGGCAGAAGATGTTAGAATTTCTGTGTATAGGAACCAGTAGAAGCCGCTGAATGTTTTGTTTCAAAGATGACCTTTCTGCATGCCACAACATTTCTGATTTAATGGCAGCTCTAAAAATCAATTACAAACTGGAAGAGTGGAGGCTTCTCATTGATTCATTCAAAACAAGTCTTAAAGCTGTTTTGTTGAATAATGAAAATGTACTTCCAGTTGGTCATGCAGTTCACATTAAATAAATTTGTGAAAACGTTAAGCAGCTTTTGATGTGTATAAACTAAGATTATCATCATTGATCACTTTGCGGCAGTTTAAAAGTGGTCACTCTTGGACTATAAGGTGGATATACCAAGTACTGCTGCTATTCCTGTGAATGGGATAGCCGTGCACGACATGAAAAGAAATTGGCCAATCAGGTGGTCATTGCAGCCTGGCAGTCAGAATGTGGAAACCCACCAGCAAGATTGTGTTGCCACCCTTGCACAATAAGCTCTAAATTGACAGCGTTTTGCCTGTCTACAGAAGCTGCAGCATTTGCCGCACCTTTTGGCTGAATTCAGCAGGTCTTTGTCTTCCAGGTTAGCTTTCTCAGCATACATTCCAAATATATCAGCGATTCTCAGTTTGTGGGTCGAGCAACCCTTTCACAAGGGTTGCCTAAGACCATAGGAAAACACATTATTTAAAGTTATGAAGTAGCAACTAAAATAATGTTATGGCTAGGTGTCGCCCCAACATGAGGAACTGTATTAAAGGGTGCAACAACATGAGAAACTGTGAAAAGGTCATGGCTCTAGGAAGGTTGAGAACCACTGAAATATATCCTCACATTTTGCCAGGAAATGTCAGTAGCTTAATAAGTCCATATTCTCACACCCCTTCAGGTCACCCTTTTTATGTCACAAGATATGTTTCTCTCCAGTCTACTAATATTTCTTCATTTTTCTAGACTTTAAAAAAAAAAAATTTGTGCAGCAATTATAGAGATGTGTTTATAGTGGCCTGAACTCTTTCAGCACCAGGCAACTCACCATGTTTGGTAGCTTCCGTTGACACAATCTACTTTCTGCACCCAGTCTAAGTGTTACACTAGCTGATTCAACCCCACTGTTACTTCAGTTCCTTTAACCTTGTGATTTATAATGTTGACTTCTTCAGTGAAGCCTGGGATTTTTTTTCACCTGGACTTCTAGTAATTTCCCCTGATCTCTGTTTAGTAAGATCAGACCCTCGTATGTATTGTTGCGCATGTTTAAAAAAGAAAAACCCTAGCAGTTGGCAATCGAAAAGAGTAGCCTAATGGTGCTGCCCAGGCAAAATTTGGAGTTAAAAATCTACCAAAAGTATTTCAGGATCCTCGCGGGTGCTATGGAGGTCGTGCACTGCGCTTAAGATTCTTCAGACTCAGGCTTGAGTTCGAAGTAGAACAGAGCACTTATGGGTTGCTACCCTTGTGCCATGATGTTGATCCGTTGTTTAACCTAAACATCTTCAAACTCCGATCTTTATAATTAAAATCCCAATTTGTAAAGATATAATGAGCTAACAGCCAAACTGGCTTGGGACTGAAATATTTATTAGCTTCTGCTGGGATATTTTCTAGACCTGCAGTTTTCCCATCCTTCAGGAAATTGATAGCTTTTCTAATTTCCTCTTTAGATGGTATCTCGCAGTGTCCACTCCATTTCTGAAGATCGAATATCTGGAGGGATGTTTAGGGTTGGTCTATGTAGAAATTGAAGTATTCAGCCTATCTAGCTATTTGATCTTTGGTGTTGGTGGGAATTTTCTCAGGACAATTTTTTTTTTTTTCAATCTGCACGGCTAATAGTTCCCTGTGGTCCTGTTTAGTTTTGCTGCTCTCTCTCTCTGCCTCTTCTGCTTGGTCACCCAGATATTTGCTTGTGTCTGCCCTTATCAGCCTCCTAACTTCACCATTAACTTCTCCATAATACTTTCATTATTAACTAGCTGAACATTACTTGCTTTCTCTGTTATTTATTTAAATTGAGATTTGACCGTTGCTGCTGAATTGACTGAGCTGGTGTAGTTTTCAGGCCTGTATAGTCTACTTACTCTGAAATGACTTTTACATGTATGTTTACTCTTGACCTTTGTTTCTCAGGTGAGGAGGTTTCTGAGACGTTCAGGCAATGAGCTTGAGCAGGTGATTGATATGCAGACGGACAAGACATCATTAACAGAGCATCTGAGGATAACTTTCAAGAGAGTGGATTGAGCAGTGTCGGGTTGTTTTTGTGTTAGCCCTGTGTTATCCAAGAGTATGGTTTTTTGCAATAATAAAGGGTTTTCATTTATATCAAGTATATAGCAGAACACATCTAGGGTGAATCAGCTACTAGATGGCTGCCCACTGTCATACCCTCTTGTGACATCAGCTTGATCTGAAAAAACAAAACCATATGTATCTTTATGCCAAATATGCACACTTATTCCATTTGCTGTAAATCCAGTATGTACGCACGCATGCTTAAGTGTGTGTATCATGATGCCAGGTATATATGATTATATTTGTGGTTTCCTGTAGATTCATCAATAAAGTCTGGTCGACCTAGTTTTGTGTAAGGATACCAAGTCTTGGTTCGTCTTTAACCCAGCTGTCTGGTAAATCAGCTTGTGTGTATATGAACCAAGTAAATATGTTGTTGTTCTTTTTTTCTTTTCATACGTCTGTCAATAGTCTGGTAAATCCAGTTTATGTCTGAGGACAGGTGTACATGAGCCTATTCTCAATTTTCTATAATCCCAACAGTGGTAAATCTGCAGGTTATGTGCCTATGTGTGAGCCAAGTGTGCTTGAACCTGATCCCAGTTTCCTTTTAACCCCAGCATTCTGGTAAATCCACATGTTTTGGGTGAGAGTGAGTGATGTGAGAGAGAGTACCAAGTATACATGATCCTGTGTGCGTGAGTGTGTATAGGAATGAGAGAGGGAGAGAGCTAAGCATACATGATCCTATTCTCTGTTTCCTTTAACCCCAACAGTCTGACAAATCCACAAGTTTTTGTGTGTGATGTGTCTTAGAGAGAGCCATGTATAATACATGGTCCTGTTCCCAGTGTTGAATGTTGAGTTAAAAACTGACGTCACATTACTCAGGGTATTCCCATAAACACTCCATCTTCACCTTCAGCAGCCAACAAAGTTCCAATTCCAGTAGTGCCAGTAGCATTTTAATTAATTGTCCATCTTGCCTTTCCTCTGAGTGTAGAGTGCCAACCAGATCTGCTGATCACTCCCATCTATATATACACCATTCTCTCCAGACCATAGTGATCGATTCTTGCCTCTGCACTGTTCACTTGCTCCTAAAGGGCCTTGACTACATGTAGCTTGTCATGCATATATCCACCATCCATTAATGCAGAACCAGCCAGTCTGCCTGTTCATTTCCTAACACATCTGACTGACACAGAAGAAAAGATCCAAAGAACACAAATCACCTAGGAACTCTAAAGCGATGCTTGCCAGTCTGCATGGAGCATGCTTCTCCGCCTTCCTTAGCATGATTTGTGAGTCGATCACAATTACAGTACTTGTGTACAACTGGTTCTAAAGCCAGTAGAAATCTGCTTTTACCTCTATTCTCAAACTATACTGCTCTCAAAAGAAAGTCAAGGGCCACTTAGCAAAACCTTGGTTAAAACTATAAAACAAATCTGATATAAACGTTCAAGACCTGTGAAGAGAAGACAAAGTAGTAGTAGGATACTGGAATATGAGACCAACCTGCATATCAGAGCTGGCATTTGCAGATGGCTAAATCAGAGGCACATCATCAGTTCAACTGACAAGTCCGAAAGAAAGAGCTTGAGAAGAGAGAGATGACCATCAGTGTCTCCAAAACTGAAACGATAGTGATCTCAAGAGAGGAGAAAAAACATCAGATCATGACGCACTAGAGCAGGTCAACCAGTTCAAATACATTGGAGTCATAATAAACCAGAGGCATCAAGTCATAGTTTGCTGCTCGAAAAGCAGCACCTTTGAGATTTTTTCGGGCCATAAACTGGGGCTTTTCTCATCAAAAGAGAAATTAGCAAAGGGGCGAAAATGGCTGTATACCGCCCCTGACATATGGGTGCGACTCATGGGCAATGACAACAGCCCATGGAAGCCAGCTTCAGGCCTCAGAAATGAGGTATCTGAGAAAGATGTGACAAGCTGGTACAAAGTTCGTAATAAGACAATGCGTCATGACCTTGAACCCAAGGCTTTACAAACTCAAGTGGATCAGACACAGACACAGTTACGATGGTTTGGACATGTATTCAGAATGAGATATAATCGGCCACCATGGGAGGCCAAGAACCAGGGAGCCAGACGACCCAGGGTTCGCTGGGAAGACAACATCCGACAGTCCCTGACTTTGTTCAAATGGAACAAAGCCAAAATAAGAAACTGCTGTTAGAAAAGTCTGGCGATCTCTGGCAAACCTGTACACCTAAGGCTAGAAGAGCAGTAAAGTAATGAATATAAACGCAGGTAATATCAGTAGAAACAAAATGTACTGAATAGCAAATAAACATGTCACGTAAAGAAATCGAAACACATCCAAATGCTGTGAACTAGACATTTGAAAATCGGGTATGACAACCGTTTGCAGCAAGGCAGCGTACACGCATCGAATCCACACAGGTTTTAAGAGTATTCCGAGGAGCAGTTTGCCATTTCCAATGCAGAAATGCAGTCAACTGTGCTACATCTATTGGTAGGTGTGATTTGTTAACAATATTCGACCAATGACATCCCAGAGGAGCTCAGTCTGAAAAAGGTCAGCTTAAGCTAAGCACGCCATCCTGATGATCCCCTGTTTCTGAAGAAAAATCGTTTACTACACGAGCTTGTTTTGGTCGAGCGATATCTTCTTGGAGAATGACATTTGCAACCATGACTTCTAGAACAGGCTGAACATTGGCCCCAAAATTTTGTTCTGGTGTCTTGGGCCGGTCAGGTTGTCTTGGATGATGTAGAATCAGGGTCCTGTCTTATCTGTAGAAGCCTCCCCAGAACATAACAAAAGTGCAGAACCTCTGTGGTAACGATCCACCTCTCGGACTGTGATCAGTAAATCGCTCTCCTTGTCCTCTTCAAGCTTGAATCCTGCCATCATTGAATAGCCCAGTTAAGCGAGATTCATCAGTGAAGAGGACTTGGCTCCATTGTTGTTTTGTCCATCAGGTGTGCTCTAGACAGCAAGCAACATAGGGTTTTATGATGTAATAGTGATAGGAGTAACAGCCATTCTGACAGCATGACGTCGAGCAGCCAGTTCAAGTTCATCTAAACCTCTCTGATGCATTAAATGCAAAATTTCAGTTGCTAGAGGCGCCAAAGCCATTAGTCAGTACCAAAAATGCAGCTTTTTTTTTTCTTGATGGAAGTGGTCAGATTAGATATGTTGACTACTATACACACATAGTGTTATTACAGTTTGCCTTCTTTTTTAATGTTTCTATTGTTTATGATCACTATCCCCTGTCCTTTTCAATCTGTATTTGGAACACATGAGAGAAATACTAGATAATCATGAAACATCTATATCCAATGGCAGAAGACCACTATGGAATTTACATTTTGCAGACGACATTGATCTCATGGCTCGTTACGAAGCAGAACTCCAAGAAACTTACTACAAAATTAGAGACAGTCTGTAGTAAATATGGCATGGAAATTAATGCAGAGATTAAGCAAGATTCTGGAAAATAGCCAGAATAATCATGTACCTACAATACTGACATATACAGACAAAATGTGGGGGAGCGGGGTAGGCTAGAAGAAGTTGAAACTTTTAAATACTTCGGCTCCCGATTGCAGTTGTACCAAAAAGATCAAGACAAGACTTGATATGGCAACAGCCGCGATGCCCCAGCTGAATACGATGTGGAAGAGTAAAATCAGCATCACAGTTAAGATATATATACAAATCAATGGTATTGTCTATTTTCTTATATGGATGTGAGAGTTGAACTCTCTCTGTGGAAATGGAAAAGATTCAGGCTTTCGAATGTAAATGCTATAGGCCATTTTACGAATGTTATTAGGAATATAAAACTAACCAATATGTCAGAGACAAAATATACAAATTTGCAGGACACCAGGAGCCTCTCTTGGCAGTGGTGAAACATCGCAAGCTCGCCTGGTTCGGGCACGTGGTGAGACGTGATTCTATTGCAAAGACTGTACTTCAAGGAACATTATGGGGTAGTCGAAGAAGAGGAGGACAACTGGAATGACATCAAGAAATGGGCAAGACTAAGTTATACGCTTGTTCATGAAGCAGGAGACAGAGAAAGATTGTGGGTTTTGTGTGTCATTGCTGCCATCAATAGCCATTCACGACCCTAACGGGTCAAGAGTTATGTTATTTTATGTGCTTATATTTTTTATCAGGCTTGAAACATCAGCTCTAGTAATTCTATTGTCAACAGTACCATCAAACCGCTGCCTTTTCAGGAATGTTGACAGCACTTATTTTACTATACCAGCCATTCACATTGTCCACTTTTGTCTGTAACTCTTTGGCTGTCTTTTGCCTATCTCTTCCCTGCCTATATGGAAGAATAGCATCTGTAAATGTCAGTATCTTCTGAGAAACTGCAAAGTGAATGGAAATATGTACATTTGGGTGAAAGTGTACTTGTGTAACAGAAGAGCTTAAGTACAGATAGATAGATTCAAAAGCAAGAAAGTTTTTATGCGCCATGGTGTTCCCCAAGGTGGTTATCACTAACACTGTTTCTAATCTATATCAACGACCTAATTCCTGAACTACCTTATGGTATTAATAATGCTGCCATGTATGCTGACGACTTGGTACTATGGTGCACAAATAAATATGCAACAGTGGCCACTAGACTGCTACAAAGATCCATAGATGCAATGACTGCATGGGCTGATAAATGGTGTGTCAGCATAAAAAAAGGCAAATATAGCACCAACCTCTTCACCCTTTCCCCAAAACAAAAATTGGGAGCCATTCACATAAATGGAATACCATTAAGAGAGGATAAGGAGCCCACATACCTCAGAGTAACGTTTGATGATAGGTTAACATGGAAAAAACACATCAACAAGGCAGCAACAAATCCAATCATATGTCAAACCCTAAAATAAAATCAAATTTTAAATTTAAGCTGTTTGTTTCGGCAACAGATAGACCAAAGAAACTTATTATCCTGTCACGTGCGTTCAGGTGGATTTAGATGCTTTACACGTTATTGAAGCGTTTGGTGTACTGTGCACATTCATTATATAAAGGTGTTTGGGGAAAAACACACCTGTTGCCGAATTTCACTTAATGTTAGTCATAAATATTGCAAGGAAAAGAGAAAAAGTGTAGGAGGACAAAAAAGTGAAGATCTGCCACTTCGTTTAAAAAGGCATTCCCCTTCAATAATAGAGTCCGTAACATCGAGAAAAAATTCCCAACCAGAAAGTTTGGTGGTATGCGCAAAAAAGCAAAAACGACGGAAACCCAGGTACATGTGCAAGGAATGTGATTTTGTGTATCGCACCTTGTTGAAATATTTCACACACAAAGATATATTATTAATAATAATAAAAAACCATGTATTTGCTTACTAAAGTGTTTTGTGTTTGCCTTGTAAGTTTTGTAGTGTTTTCTTTTTGTTAATGAGTTTTCACGGCGTAGTAATAGCGCGTCTGACTCGTCAGCGCAAAGTTCAACCACACGCCTCAACGATTTTTTTATTTAGGTGTACAATTTTTACCCCGCGTGCCGTAAGCGCGTCTTCTGCTTTTGAAGGAAAAAACGGTATTCAGCACAGGGGGAAAGATTAGCTCTCGCCTGGCTTAGCACAGTGGTTACGTTGGCTGGCGGAGGGCGCAGCAGCGAAAGGGTTAAGAGAGGATAAGGAGCCCACATACCTCAGAGTAACGTTTGATGATAGGTTAACATGGAAAAAACACATCAACAAGGCAGCAACCAAATCCAGAATATGTCATAAATAAAAATCAATGTTTGTTTGTTGTTACCTATAGACTCGGAAACTATTATTAAACTGATTTAGCTGAAATTTTCAGGGTATGTTTGTTTTGGGGATGCTACCTGTCAAAGTTCGAAATAGGTGACAAAATTTGTTGAAATAATTTTAGAAACTGATATTTTAATTTTTTCCTACAGTGACATTTCATTTAGGCCATGTTTGTACATGCCTCAGATCTCAGTGGGTATGGCATATGCACAGAATCCTCAACTTTCTGCTCAATGTTTGTCAAAATGGCAAAGAGGGTTTACAACTTGAAACCGTCTCATGTACAAATAAGGCACAATGGTTGGGGGAAAAGAACATAATAATTTGTTCATACCTATTTCAAAGTTCTGCAACAAATTAAATTTGTAGTGATTCCTTAATTTCAAAATAAGCAAAGAAATTATAAGTTTTTATCAATGGTTTAATCCTTCTCATTAAATATAAATGTTTTTCTTGGTTTTTTTTTTTTTTTTTGTATTAACTTAAAAATACTTTTTACATTGTGAGGAAGGAGGGACAGAAGAATATTTTACAAGGAGTCAACTCACATCATGTATTTTTATATTACATACTTTTTTTTACCAACAACTAGCGAAATATGAAATAGTTAAAGTAGCTGTATATCCTTTAAGGGAGTTGCATAACCAACCCAGCATTTTTTGGTGTTGTGGTTTTTCTAGGCAAATTTATGTTCAGTAGTTTGCCATTGCTTTCTGGACAGTTGGCTCTCTAAATCTCACTGTTGAACCCAATGCTGTGATCTGAAATAGACAGAGAAAACTGAGACGGAGTCTCTCAGAACAGTGTAAAAGCACCAAGTCTTTTATTGATTTACATACAATACTGACATTACAAAATATTTTCCCTAACAAGTTTCTTCTTTTTGTATTCATCTGAGGATGTTAACTGGGTTGTGCCCATTTACAGCATGGCTGCGATATTTGCTCCTTCAGGCCAACACATCCAATTTCTGCAGGCATTTGTTGACGGGGTTAACCTTCCCAGAGCACAAGTATTGTAATATTCTATGTGCTGATTACTATACTTTCTAGACTGCAAGCAAAACAGCCTTCTAGCTACTACAAGTCAGTAGAGAATGACACAGTACTGGGGTACACACAATAAAGCAAACAACATCAGCAAAAGTCGAATCTCCCTCCCACACACAGACACAATATTCATAATGTTAGACAATCAACCATACACTCATTCTCCTTGGAGTTATCCTTGATACTAGACACATATGGAAGCCAAACCTGGAAGAAAATATTCAAGCAAAATGCATATAAGACTTGCTGTTCTTGTCAGAGAAGAAATCTGACCCACAAGAGTGACCCTGCCAGATAAACTATTGAGTACGGATGAGGAGCTCAATTATGCCGCCCTGTCTGTGACCTCAAACTATTGAGTACGGATGAGGAGCTCAATTATGCCGCCCTGTCTGTGACCTTTGCTGGAATTTAAAACACAGCAAACAATTTTTGAAAAAGTAACTTGAATATTTTCCTTTATGATATTAATTGTCTGTGCAAACATTCAACATTCCAAGCCCCTGAAGTTCATTGCTGCAGACATAATGCACCTCAAATCATCTCAGTGATAGGCTTTCTTTTTTAAGTTAGTGACTCAAGGTGTCTGTATATTATCGCTTCACAGTCTTCTTGGTCTGCCTCGTGGTCTACTTCCATTTAGCTCATCTATGCAAACAGTTTTTGTCTCTTTGTTATCTGCCATTCCCTCTATATGCCCCAACTACTGCAGTCTATTAGTCCTCATGTCAGTAGTTGTGATTTTAAGAGATTATGAATTTAATTTTTGCTTCTCACTCTACATTATCCGCTGGTTGAATCTTTGAGCGGAAGAAAATGAGAAATATAAAGTGAACAGAAGAATGTAGTAGTAGATTAAAGAATACCTACATAAGAGTCAGAGTAGAGACAGATGGTTTCAAGAGTTTTAAAAACAAAAGCAAACTTAATGAAAGCTTACAAAATCTGCTGCTGCATCAATAACGTTGCTGAAATGCCAAACAGAATCAAACTAGCAGTGTATGCCAACAAGCAGGTACCATGCTGAACAAATCAACAGGCAACAGTGCCACTAGACTTCTACTTTAAAAATCTACAGATGCCTAGGGGCATTGGTGAACAGATCATGTGTTAGCATTAACATAAGATAAATGCGGCACCAACCATTCTCTAAAGCTAAAAGCAGGCATCATCCAAATAAACAGAACACTTATAAGAAAATATTGAAAAAACCCACATATTTCAGTCACATCTGATGACAGGCTGACATGTGAAAGTATATCAAAGCAGCAACCAAATCAGAAGGAAGACAGATATATGTGTTATTTAATGTGAATATGTTTTGAAATTCTTCTGACAATTGATAAAGTCAAATAAAAACGTAGGTATCTTTCACATTTCTGCCATGGTGGCATTCTCAGTTTGTTGTCAACAGCATGACACAAGAAAACTGACGAGCCTGTGATCAACATGTGGCCCACTGACAACTGTTTCTTAATACCCATCTATAGAATGTTGGACATGTCACCAAGTGACTAAATGAAAGGATGCCAGACTTGAATTCAACTGAGGACAATATTTTTATAAAATTATTTTTAAACTACATGCTCTACTCCAACTTGATCTCTGGGCAGTAAACTATTTGCTTCGTTTTCTCAGACAATAATTAAAGGTGGTATGTTAAAAATCTTCAGCAGTTAAAACTGTAAGCAGGCCATGCACAGTTTCCTAAAATGTTCATTTATGTGAACTCTGGTGCTCTGGGATCTTACTTTTAAGTACACACACTGTTGAGATTCTATAAGTGTAATCTAAAGGCGGTGAGCAATAATTACATCATTGTGAGATGTCCTTAAACTCAACCAATCAATGTAATCCACTTGACAATGATCTTGTATTACTTGTTTTTCTTTTTTTCTAATCAAACAAGATCATCAGCTAAAGATAGTACTGAACAAGCACATTAAATATCAATTATTTACACCAAACTATGCAACTATCACAATGAACAGTCATCCATATCTACTTCTTCTATAGATAAGCTGCTTTCCATAAATGGGTTGTTATTGTCCGTGGAGTTGAACCCATTTTTACTGTCGTCCATGCTCTCCCTGTTTTGTGGCAAGCCACTAAATAGATCTGTTAATTTGAATGTCTGAGCTTGATCTTTAGACACTGACAGAAAGTCTGGTTCTTCCTCGGCACCTTAGGGAAACAAAAAAAGTTTTTGTAAGTTAGTGTGTACTTACGTATTCTGCTGTGTTCATATATGGAATAATACACATGGGTATTGACTGGCTCTCACAGACAAGAGTGGAAAGATATCAGAAATCAGAGAACTTGCAGATAATTTTCTTTTTTATAGACTGACTTTGGTAAGCATGTCTGCCCACTGCTTTCTGTCATGTATGTTGTCAATTATTTCTTTTCAGACATTCTTATATGCCATGAAGCCAAACTGTCCAACATCTTCCATCTTGTATTCTCCCCATAAACTTTCTCACACTGTTATGATGCATTCCATTTTTTGTCTTTTTTATGATGTGTCAAGAAAAAATGTCGACTACCATTTTATTTATGTAGGTTATCAGTTTTCTTTGTGAGTTAACTGCTTTCAGGATATCTTAATTTGGCTATTTATCTTCATTCATGGTGTTCCCATCATTCTTCTGTTTTAGAAAAAAAACATATTTGCAGAAAAGACTAAACCTAGTTTCTTTATCTCAAACAGAAACTTGTTTCTGATTTTTTTTTCACTTCTTATTAAGACTGTCCAGTCTTCTAGTATGTCTAGTTCTGTCTGCCCAGAAAAGGCACAGTAATGAATATTTTTTCCCCACAAGCTGTCTCTTCTGGGTGAACTGCGTAGACACTGCAGAAGGTCTTTCCAAGTTTTTAGTAGATACTGCAAGAAGTCTTCCTTTTCTGAGTTTTTAATCCACAAGATGCAGTGTCTCGGCATATGCATGGGTGACTTAATCCCATGAATACTGTTCACCCAGCAGAGCTGCAATGATTTGTCCCTGAGAAGCAAAATTAACACCAATGGTTATGACTGCAATTGCACTGCATTTAGAAGGCAGGATATTAACTAAAAATAGCACTGAAAAGGTGGCAGAGGTTTTGTGAGCAAAATTACCACAGCTCCTGACTCATTTGGGGGGGGGGGGGATTTGAGGGGTGAAAGGGTTTAAGCTATTTTGATATAATAAATTGCCCTTAGCTATCCCAACAAGGTCATGGAGTCATGGTATAATTAGCCTGATACATTCTGAAGGCCCTGGAGAATGTATTCTATTTATTGCCTAACTCCATTTACATTTATTGATTACACTCTAAATGTATTTCAGAAGGCGGAAAAGGGGTGAGGGAGTATTTGTTGTTGTTTTAGTTTTGCAAAAGGGTTTTTGATGAATTTCTTAGGGTTCCTGTCTTTTCTTAAAGTTACAGAGGCAAAAGGAATAAAGTGTTGTCTAAATACTGCAAGAGGTTTTGCAACAGTTTTTTGTCGGTGGTCAGAAATTGTTTCTTCTGCCAAAATATTTTCTCTTCAGTCATTCATCTTGTCTGCTTCTGTACTCACTGGTTGGAAGCATTATGAGACAGATACCTCTTTCATCTGTTCTTAGCTAGCCTTAAAGGTGAAGTATTTACTCTTGGGGCATTTGTGCTTGTTATCTATTTTTGTTCTCAAATAAGCAGTTGGCCAGTAAGTGCAAATGTATACCTTATACATTAAGGTGTTTGTTCAATCCTTGCTAAGCATTGTGGGTATTTCATTCCTACACACCGTATATCGTAACACTGGTACTAGATACATCAGAGGAACTATCAGAAAGAGAACAGCTTGGTGGAGGAATTAGGTCAAAAAAGTCATGAAAATTTAAAAAGAGCGATACAAGAAATGGCTAAGATCCCACTCATATGATGATTATTACCATACAGTTTAACAAGACAACAATCCACAAAAGCAATTAAACAATCAAAGGAAAAATCATGTATGTGGGAAAACCTTGATGAACTTTGTGTCAAATCTTGTCGACAATCAATGGTTTTATAAAGCTACAGCAAACATGAGAATGAGAAATGATTCCTTTCAAACATCTGAACATACTGATGACAGCTCAGGAAGATCATACATAAATAACATTTTCAAGCTCTTCTGAACATATCAGACAATGCTGAGACCATTCACTCACAAAGATGCTAACAAGAACGAACCCCAAATCCTTCAACAAGAGGGTCAGAGCAGATTTTAGATGCAGTCCAAAGAATAAAGCAGCTCGCATCAATGGAATAACAGCAGAATCAATAAAGTGTTAGTGGAATTGGAGCCACCTGGTTACTCCATATATTTCATTGATTTCTAAAGCTAGCAAGATAAGGGTTGTGAGAATGCGCAGAACTTTTAAGTATGAGAAAGACAGTAACCTTCTTAGATGCCTACGACAGAAGGTATGCAGCAAAACCACATCCTCTGCTTTTGTGCAGCCTCCATGGTGGACCCAAAAAGTAGAACAGGCATGGAGAGCAAAGCGAGGAGCAGTTAAGCAATTATAGAAAGTGCAAAAGGCACCTTACAGGTTATAAGAGGATGTAGAGAAGCTAGAGTCGGCTCTGTGGCTAAGTTGATGCGAACGCTTCGCTTCGTAATGCCGGGATGCCAGGTTCGATCCCAGCTGCGGGCAATGCGCCTTGCGTTGGTTTCGACAGTGGTATCAAGAAAGCAGACCGTCCAGAAAGCAATGGCAAACTACTGGATGTAAATTGCCTAGAGAAACCAGCCAGGGGCTGTTAGGGTTGGTTCTGCAACGTCCTGTAAAGGATACGCAACTAACTTTAGAGAAGCTAGAAGGATAGAGACATGAAAAAGCAGAAGAGTTCAAGCGGTGTGCAGCAGATGCAAAAAAGGCTAAATGCAAACATTTTATAAGCCAAACTGGAGGGGATAATCACAGGGTAGGTTCTGGAAACTTCACAAACAGATGCAAAGGAAGGATCGGCCAGTCACAACAGACATTATATACACTAATAATGATAAGCCAATGACAACAGACAAAGAGAAAGGGGAAAGCTTTTCTGGAGAGATTTACATTCCAAACTGATCATAATGATAGAGAGCTTAGAAATTCCGTTAAGAGTTAATCTGTCCAATGTTTTAATGATTAAATGTTTTAAGCCTCACAATTAATAACAATATCAGAAGAGAAAGCAAACTGAGGTACCTGGGTATCACTTTCGATAGAAGGATCATGTGGAGGCAGTTGCGGTGAAATGCCAAAAAGGACTCAATGCTCTCAAGATTATGGCAGCAATGGACATGGAACAAAGAATGCTGTTTACAATGTTCCAGCATTTGATCCCGTTGGTGGTAAGATTTTGGACTTGGGATGCTTACCATATCAGTCAGTCAGCTGATGAAACTTGAACGCATACAGAATGAAGCCATGCGGGTCATTCTGGGATGTACAAGAGATACCCCAGTAGTATGTATGCGATGTATGCTTGCACTGCCTGCTATTGCAGATAGGCTCAAAGTTCTGCAAGGAAAGTCATATCTCAGAGTAGCTGCAGACAAGAAGCACCTCTTGCATGAAAAGAGGAAGGTCTTGGATGGCGCAAGCTGCAGGCACAATCAGATGTGTGCAGGCTTGATAAATTTGCGCGAGGTGAGGAGTGGGTCAAAGTGCCCGAGCAAGTTTCAGACTTGTGTAGGGTTCTTATCACACTGTTGCTCAGACACTTTGACCCACTTCTCTTCTTCTCAATATAAAAAAAATATCATCAGGCGGTGACAAACATGAACATTTAAATGAACTCATCTTTGCTGACGACCAATCCACATAAACCAACTAAACGACAGCTGCCTCAACTTGAGAATACTCGAGAAGAAAAGAAGTGGGTCAAAGTGTCTGAGCAACAGTTCGATTTTTGTAGGGTTCTAGTCATATCAGGCTTTGATTGTAGGGACTGGCCAGCGGGTGCTGCATAATCAAAAGTTCAACAAATGATTCATGATAATTACCGCCCAAGTGATGTCATTATCTATACAGATGGCCCTGTGTTGAGAAGCAGAAGAAATGCACATGGGTTCACAGCAAAAGTGAATAGACGTTGCTAAGTGCAACAAAGCCTGGCATATGATACAATATCTGGTTTGAGAATTGAGATGGAGGTGATTAGTGCAGCCTTGAGAACCAGATGCACACACATGTTGTCAGTGTGACTGATTAATAAAGCATGCTGAGAACACTGGAGAAAGGTATGGTCTGTGCAGAGTGGCAAGCATCACTTCAGATAACTTGGCCTCCTTTGGATATTTTCTCCAAGGAATGCCAGTGTGCTGAGAAATGAATAGGCAGACAGATTCGCTGGTTAGGCACTGCTTGGTAATAAAGTAATGCATGATAAACTAGATATTGTATGGGCCCTTAGGAGGTGAGTATTCAGTGCAGACACAAAAAGCATCCAATGTGCAGCCAGGAGCGACTCGGAGATCTGGCCAATGCTCAACACTCTTGGAAGGGGCCAGACGGACATTTAAATCACTGTTACTAGTACTATCAGAAACTGGAACTCTGGGCTTGCTGCTGAAGATGGGATTGGAGCACTTAATGGGAATGTCCCAAGTGATGTAATGTTGGTTCTTTAACTCATAATTATTCTCTTGTGTATGTCCAACATAGGTTTTCATCAATATCTATTTATCAATCCATCCATTTTACTTATGTATACAGTATGTAATGGCTGGACTAACAGTTAAGAGCACAGGGCTCGCATGCGGGAAACCTGGGTTTCAAATCCTTGATAAGGCTAAAATTTGTTCAAAGACAAAAATAAAATGTCTGTGGTGGCAGCACTAGCCATGTGGCTCAAAGACCCCCCCCCCCCCCCCCCCCCTTCCACACACACACACTGTAAAAGTGGTAATTACAAGCAGTAAAGGCACTTGGCAGTAGATACCGTAAATGCACCATGTTACCTTGAGATGGCGGCCCTCAGTCAACTGCAAATAAGTTATTTGGGCAATTATACTAAGTGATTATTTTCATTGTATTTTACCATAAAGCCTTTGTTTTAAAAAAATATTTTATAAAATTTAAACAGTTGAACAGCTGAATGAAGTAACTAATTCCACAACTACATTGTTTGTAGCTGTTAACAAACAGTGACAACAAAGTTTAGCTGGGGGAAGAAGGGGGAAAAAATAAATGACAGCAAAGGGGTGTATCATACACCCTTAACTGACTCCTGGCCATAAATCCTCAGGATAAAGACCCACTGCCAACATAGCAAAAACCATAAATACAGACAGTAAAGGCATTTTTTAAATATAGTATGTGCAATTGATAATTCTTCTGCTTGTGCTTGTCATCACATTTGGAGAAAAATTTATTGAAAGGCAACAAAGTAGACTTTGTTTTACAGGATTTTAGCATATGGCTAAATCTCTCTGCACTGCTGCTGGCCGCCACTTGCTAAGAGTATAACAGAAAAAAAATGAACTCTGCAGCTCCAGCAAAAACCACAGGGATCTATGAAAATATACTCTTGCACAAATAACCACACAGTGTGAAAACAAGCCATTAGAGTCCAAGGTAAATTGCTGGACCATTTTGCTATGTAGACACTCAGGGTGTGGGGGGGGGGGGGGCCTGTTTTAAGACAACTGTGCATCTGTCTTTTGTCCACTGATGGAAAGATAAGATTAAAGAAAGAGAAAAAGCAAGAATAAACACCAATGACATCTTACCATCACAAGCTGACATTTCCAGCATCAGGGCATCCAATGAACTAGTTAGCATCTTTGTGGAAAACATGTCATCTTTCCTCAAACCCAGTGCCTGTCTCCCAGTGGAAATGAAATGAAGTTATTGTTTAACTCTGAAGTATTTGAGACTGTTTCATTTATAATCAGGCAGTCTAAAAATCCTTATATAGCTCTACAATGCAATTTTCCATTAATTGTAATTTCCTAACAAAACTCATGTCAACCAATTATTTACTATGTGACTCTCCCCCAGGCCAACCCACCCCCCCCCCCCCCCCCACCACACACACAGAGGGGAAGGGGGGGGGGGAGAGACAGAGAGAGAGGTTTCACATAACAATAAGTGTGTCAATGATAAATCATTTAACAACTTCAGATGTATACACGTTACCATTCACATCATGTGAAATGTCCTTTCTAAACATCAACCATGTTAACAAATCTAAAAATATCTTTTGAGTCAAACTAATCAACACAAAATAACAGTGTTTAGTGTAGATAGGTGAAAGTTCCTATCAATATACAGTAATTCAAATGAACAATTCCCTTGTAATATTTATGCATTTATTGCTATAACAGTCAAAACATCTCACCTTATGGAAGTAATTCAAGGCCTCTGAATTATTACCCATCAAAGAGTAGACAAATCCTGAAAATGTATCACATATATGTATTTATTTGCTGTGACTAAAAAAAAAATGAAATTTCTAAGAGTGAGGTCTTCACCTTGAAATTATTGATTACACATCTCTAAACGTCCGGTAAATCAATGGCAGATACTTTCACCGGAGAGTGCATGTTCAAGTTTGCACACATACTAAATCAATGCATGAGGTCAAGGAATATGGCAACTATCCCTTCCAGAAAGATATCTGGTCAAGTAACCTCAGATCTAAACAAATTCACAGCTGCCACTATTGAAGGACTGCTAATACCGAAGCAGCAGATCTCTCTGCTCTATAATGAATGTGGTGCAAGGTTTTGTTCCTACAGTGATAATATCTGAAAGTATTATTTCTTACAGTATCGGATAATTAATTTTGTGATTTTCCTCAAGCACATTTTTCCCATCTCACAAATGTTATTATTACTTTCTGGTAATGTCCAAGTTTTCACCCGAGTGTCATCGGGACCCTCACAGGAAGCACAGAATATAGACACTGCACCCTACCAGGTAAGTCGTAAGAGGCGACTAAGGGTAGGGTTGGGCTTGAGGTTGGCCACCTACCTCATCCTGTAAAAACCATAGCCACAAAAATGAACCAACCATGGATGTCAAAAAGAGAAGCAAGTAAAACCCAGCCAACCAAGATGAGGGGAGGCTCTTCAAAAATAAGAAGTATGACACAGTGTGGAGAAAACCGTAAGGAGTCTGGATTGTTGACGTACCTCCTCTCAGCTAGGAAAACCTCCAGAATTGGCACCTGGAATGTTAGAACTCTCTATGATATAGGGAGAACAATGGAAGTAGCAAGGGAAATGAAACATGGAATTAGTATTCTAGGGTTATGTGAAACTAGATGGACTGGGGCAGGGAAAAAGTATTCTAAATTCAGGGGAAACTATTTTGTTCTCAGGACACAAAGAGGAAAATTCGCCCCACAGAGAAGGAGTGGCCCTGATTGCTATCGAAAGAAGCAGACAGGGCACTAATAGAATGGAAAGCTGTGAGTCCCAGAATAATAAGAGCATCTTTTAGAGCAGCGAAACAGAAGGTGAACATGTCGGTAAAACAGTGTTACACACCAACAAATGATAAAGATGCATCTGTTAAGGAAGAATTTTACATGCAGCTTCAAAATATTATAAATAATGAAAGAAAGGGCAATTTACAAATTTTGATGGGTGACCTGAATGCTAAGATAGGATCAGACAACACAGGTTATGAAGAAATTATGGGAAGACATGGTCTAGGAGTTATGAATGAAAATGGAGAATTGTTCACAAATTTTTGTGCAGGAAACCAGTATGTTATTGGTGTAAGTATTTTTCCCCATAAAAGAATACACAAGGCAACATTGGGAATCACCAGACCATAAGACAACTAATCAAATTAATCACCTATGTATTAACAAAAAGTTTAGATCATCCCTTTACGATGTTAGGGCTTTCAGAGGTGCCGATGTATTTACTGACCATTTCCTGGTGGTAAGTAAAATCAAGTTGAAACTAAAAAGATATATAACATCTTATAATCATAGAAACCAATATAATGTAGGTTATCTCAGGGATAAAGAAGTTAAGGAACAGTTTTCAGTTACAGTCTCTAATAAGTACCAGGTGTTGCAGCAGTTAGCTGAAGATGTAAGCACAGGAGTCTGCTGGGATCAGATAAAAGGAATCTGGAATGAATCTTGCATAGAAGTTCTTGGCAAGAAAGAACAGAAACATAAAGTGTGGATAACGCCAAAAATACCATTAAATTGATTGAAGATAGGACAAGTAAAAAGGCAGACTTAAACAATAGCAAAACTACAGCTGCTAAAGCTAGAGCTCAGGATGAATACACAGAAGCCAATAAGGAAGTTAGGAGGCGTATGAGGGCAGATAAAGTGAAATATCTAAATGATCTAGCACAAAAAGCGGATACAGCAGCAGCAAAAGGAAACCTCAAAGAACTTTACAGTAACACAAGAAAATTAGTAGGTAAATATAGTCAGCCAACTAGATCAATCAAAAATAGTCAAGGAAAGATACTTACTAACACTAAAGATCAAATGGACAGATGGGTTGAATATTTTGAAATGCTTCTAAATAGACCTGGTCCAGAGGTTCCCCCAGATATTCAGCCTTTAGAAATGGAACTGGATATCAACTGTGAGATACCATCAAAAGAGGAAATCAGAAAAGCAATCAATCTTCTCAAGGAAGGAAAGGCAGCAGGCCCAGATGGTATCCCAGCTGAAGCCATCAGGGCCAACATAAACACATCAACAGAATTGCTACATAGACTATTAAGTAAAGTCTGGGAGACCGAAGAATTACCAGCAGACTGGAGAGAAGGATAACTTGTGAAACTGCCCAAAAAAGTGATCTACAGGAGTGTGAAAACTATAAAGGAATTATGTTGCTGTCAGTTCCTGGAAAAATATTAAGTAGAATTATTTTGGAAAGATTAAAAGATGCTACTGATAAAAAACTAAGAGATGAACAGGCAGGTTTTCGGTCAAACATATCCTGTACTGACCAGACAGCCACATTACGTATTATAATAAAGCAAAGCACTGAACTGAACTTACCACTTTACATTGGATTTATAGACTATGAAAAAGCATTTGACAGCATTGATAGGGAATCTCTCTGGAAATTGATGGGGCACTATGGAATCCCACAGAAAATTATCAACTTAGTAAAGGCAACACATAAAGACATGAAATGTCGAGTTCTTCATGAGGGAAAGCTAACAGATACATTTGAAATAAAAACAGGTGTTCGACAGGGATGTCTTTTGTCGCCTCTCTTATTTTTACTGGCTATAGACTGGATTATGAAAACAAACTGCTAACACCAAGAATGGAATTCAGTGGACACCTACAAAACAGCTTGATGATATTTCTCTTCTGTCCCATTCATTGAATCAGATGCAAGATAAATTAAATATACTTGATGAGAGATCACAGCAGCTTGGTCTGAAAATCCATAAAGGAAAGACAAGATAATGAGAATAAATCAGGCAAATAGTAATGTGGTTTCTCTTAATGGCACCCCACTCCAAGATGTGGAGTCGTACACCTATTTGGGCAGTAATGTAGATAAAGGTGGAGGAACTGATAAAGATATTAAAATAAGAATACAAAAGGCAAGAGGAGCTTTTATAGCACTAGGGAATTTGTGGAGGTCAAAAGAAATTAAAAGAAATACTAAACTAAAAATTTTTAATTCTAATGTCAAATCAGTACTATTGTATGGGGCGGAAACATGGAGAACAACTAAGGCAATTACTAATAAATTAAAGATATTCATTGACTGGTGCCTGCGCAGAATAGAGGGAATTAAATGGTATGTTAGAATAACCAATGTAGAGAGCTTTGGGAGAGAACTAAACAGGCTCCAGTGGACCGAGAGGTGAGGAAAAGACACTGGTGTTGGATATGACACACACTGAGAAAACAGGAGAACAGCATAACTAGAATGTCTTTGCATTGGAACCCACAGGGGCATAGGAATAAAGGAAGGCCAAAAAACACATGGAGAAGAGAGCTGGAGAATGAGGTTAGAAAGATGGGGAGGACATGGGGAAAGCTCCATGCAATGGCGAAGGATAGAACGACTTGGCGTGAGTTGGTTGAGAGCCTATGTTTCATTGGGGGATAGAAAGGCAGAAGAAGAATGTCCAAGTTTGGCACTGGTAGCACAGTATTGGTTTTACACATGCTGTAAGAATATTTTTATCACTTGGTGTTATTTATCATCTTTTAGTGTTTTAGACACTGCAAACAATATTCTGGATGGATTAGCTATGTGGATGGGCAAGAACACTGACTTGACCCATAATTCTTGTGATCATGTGAGATGACAAAGCATGACAGCCTACATTTATCTGCACAGTCCATGATCATGTCAGTGAAACAATACTCTAAGAGAACATTTTTATTTTCAAGAAAACATATTTTGGCATATATTTTCCTAGTCATGACTTCTTTTCGGGACTAAATTTTCTCTCCGCATGCAACAGCACCTTGTGACAGTTATGATCCGCTCAAAATTGGTGGCAACCCTATTCCTGAACTCCGCTACGCAGATGACACAGTCCTCCTTTTGAACAGCGTAAAGGGAATAGAAAATGTAATATTGTCTGTCCAAAAACACAGTAAAGATCAAAATCTGTTCTTGAATTTAACGAAAATGAAAATAATGTCCACAGATAAAACTGGCTGTCACCCAAAAATTACAATAAATGATGAAGAAATTGAAAATGTCACAAACTTTGAATATCTAGGCTCTATAATGAACAACAATGGAGACTGTTCGACAGAAATTAAAAAGGAGGATGGCCTTGGCAATGCAAAGATTGAACAGCCTTAAAAGTCTATGGTTAAGCACCAGCAATTAGATAAAAATTAGAATTTTGAGAGCATGCATCTCCCCTGTGGCTACATACGGGATGTGAGTCGTGGACTATCTCTCAGTCCTTAAGAAAGAGAATACGGGCTTTTGAGCTGAAATGCTTTAGAAAGATTCTCAGAATATCTTGGACAAAGAAGATGAGAAATATTGACATTTTAAAAGATCTGAACATCAAGGAAGACTGGCTAATAAACAGCATCCTTTCTCGACAGCTGAAATATTGTTTGGTCATATCAAGCGCCACGACGGATTGGAAAAAATTATAGCAGAAGGCATGGTACCAGGAAGGAGATGCAGGGGCCGACCGACACGAAGATGGGCACAGGATATAAGTGACTCCTTGAGTGTGAAAGTGCATGAGGCGGGAGAACTGGCGAGAGACAGAGTTTCTTTCAGGCAGACTGTGATGAGAGCGACGTTCTGCAAAGGAACTGCTACATGATGATGATGATGATGCAACAGCACACAGTATCAAAACCTTTTATTTTTTAGCCTCAGCAGTAGTGTGATAGTCCATTTGCATTTTTCTTTTCTGGGAAAGAAAATCTGCTCCTATTCATTTAACTCTTTCAGGCCCATGAA